CACATGTCAGGTGCATCTGCCAGCTCATTTGCCTGACTGAGAGCAAGAAGCAACTCATTGCATAGGAGAAAACACGGCCATCAAATTACCCTAATATTCCAACAATTAGGTGGCAGTTCCATGAGCTCAACTTCTCTATCACTAATGAGAGCTTCCTCCCTCAAAGTAGTAATTATTTCATTCCATATCATAGTAAACCTTCTTGCCTCCACTTGGCTTGATTCCATCTTGTACGGCTGACCAAGTCCATATCTAAGCTGCAGTCGATGAATTGCTTCCCTAAGTTTCTTCACCAGAGTTGCCTTGGGAGTCAGCAGCTGATCCTCTGGCATGAGATTAAATTGCATAGCACTTGCAAAGAACTGAAACCTAAGCCTAAGTTGCTCCATATTCCTGATTTCACCCAAATGGGAAAACAACCCATTTGTCGCACCGACAAAGGATGAAAAAACTGAATACCAAATTTGCAAATCTATGAAATAGATAAGAACAACAGGCATCCACAGCAACACAACAGCAATTCTATTACTGCTTCCAAAAAACTCATGCCAGTTATACTTTACATTTGAAAGACTCAAAAGAGCCTTTGTTGGAGCAACCAGGGGCTTTATCTGAAGAAAATAACTGAATCAAAACTTACACGGTAATGCCACAATACAAAACAAACTATATCTGATATTATCAACTAAACCTTCCCTCAGTCCACGACCAACGAAAATCCGTGAATGAAACCACCATGTCAACCAAGAGATAATCATCCAATCCAACCCTTCAATCCAATTCCTAACCCAAGGAATCACAAAAAACAGCAATGACAACAACTCCGGAATAACATACACAAAGATGGCCTCGAGAAATGTAACAATCCTTTGGTTTGCTGCCGGAGACCACCACCTATCACCATTCTTCTGACTCCAAATCCTGGCATAAAAAACTGCAAACACAACAATTCAAGTCAAAGCAACCATACTCTTCAACACCATCCGTATTCCAAGCCACACTGTCTGCTTGGAAACCAGACTATACTGATTCCCGGCATCAAGCACAGATTGCCAAAACCGAAGATCAGCCCAGGTAATGAAAACCGTTAACAGCACGACCTGAATATCCCTTTCCCCCAAAGCTTCCCAGGGATACTTCTTCCCTGACCAAGCAACAATAATGGCTTGTAAAAATAGAATTAACAGAATCCATTGCCTCAAAACTCCTAAACACATTCCAAAACGATCGTTGCTCGACAAACCCAGTTTTCCCAACTCTTTCAAACTTCGGTACAGTATCAAAGAAATTACACCCAGAATTAATCGGCCATTTCAAAGTCTTAAAACACCTTCTACTCCATAAATACTCGTTTATATCATCGTAATTTCTCCAAGCCGAATGCAGCGCGGTTCCATTCCTACTGCTCTCTACTTCTGTTTTAATCGTTTGGTAAAATGGCATAACGATGCATTTCAAGAAAGCACAATCACCTGAAATCGATGGCACAAACGGCCTCCCGGTAAATTCATCGATGTGTTGATCAAAAAATTTGGTTAATTCCATTGCCATGTGATGGTAAATGTAACAGAGGAGTTCTGGACAGAAACGGAGATTAGCGGCTTCTCCCCAGTTTAGGAGATACAGAGAAACGTAGAGGAGCTCCCGGGTTGGGTCGTAGTTGTTTACCCGGCGCGCGGGGGTGGACGTGGGATTTGACGCGAAGAAAAGAGCACCACGAAGTGTAGTTATCGAGTAACTTCTTGCGGAAACTTTGGAGGACGCCGCGGTCGAGTTCGTCGGGGTTCGCTGGAGGCGCATTTGGCAGTTGGCTAAGAGAAGGACGAGCTTTTCCCTTTGGTTCCGAACGTTATCGTTTTGGAAGCCGAAAGAGACGCCTAACCAGCCCATCAGGTCCATGTTTGGCGCCAACGTTACGAACGGCGGTTTTGGGAGGTTTAGAATCGGACGCAATAGGGCCGCAGCGACGGCGCATACTTCCGGGTATAGAAGCGAAGGATGGTCATCTAGAAGGTCGTGGACTGGGATATGTTGTAGACTTCTTGCATAGACGGCGGAGGCTGCTGCGCGCGTGGGGACCGGGCGTTGCCGTAAAGCACTCATAATTCACTTCCCCTTTTCCTTATTCCACTTCAAAGCATCCCCTTTTCCATTATAGGCGTTCATGCAAACTCCGAAAGCCTGAAGCTGTAGTCCTGTTTCCTGAGAAGAGCGCGACAGAGGGAAGCTACGAGTAAAAAAGAGAATAAAAAAGGCAGCCCAAGTAAAAGTTTTTTTATTTTTGGTGTTGCGTTATAATATATAACTGACAAAAGATCTTTGGATAGTACACGAAAGCGAGAGATGACTCCCCGTAGTAATATTTGCTTTGTTGTTAGCTTTTTAGCCCACATGTCAGGGCGGCGATTGAGAAACACGGCGACAGACCCACGTATCTATTGATTGAAAAAGGGAGTTTTCTAGTATTAAAAACACATCAATAGTTGCAAATTTTAATGATAAGGAGTTTGATTAAAACCGGCTCCGGATTCACCTGACCACTCACTCAAGTCTCTAAAAATATTAGATGAAAAAAATTGAAGAATTTTGGGCATTGATGCCAAACAGTACCTTGAGAGATTCAATAACTGCACCAAAATCTTCCATCTGTTCCTTTTCCTTCATTAAAAAATGGATGAACAAAGCGTTTAATTGCGTCCATAAATGCCAATTAAATTTATTTAATACATGTACGTGTTTCATATAATAAGGGAGAAATTTATTCAATGACAGAAGAATAATATTTTTGAAAAAAATAAAATTTTAAGAGTATTTTAGTCTAAAACACCGGTAATGTTACAATAACTAAGGGAAGGGAGGTAATGACATTTCCGGTAATATACTCAAAAAAATCTACTATTGATAATAAAATACTATCGAGAATGAGATTCTCGGCCAACTAAATATGAGAATGTTAATATAAAAGGGGATGGAATGTGTATCATGTGATCATTCTTGCATCAAACTTTTCCAACAAAACAATGTGCTTTTTTAGTACGTAATTTGTTGTCCATGGCTTTTTGCAATATGCTGCTCTGCCCTCCGTGTGCTGAGTCTATGAGTCAAATATATGAATTATCAAATCAATCTTAATGAATACATTTTTTTTCCAAAGAAATACTCTATCTGTTGAAATAAATACATATACATTGAATATATTAAATCTGTGATAACTTCAAATATATGGTTCTATTTGTCTAAAAATCATTATTTATATATAAATAAAAAATACTTATGGTGCAATAAATATAGGCAGCCCATCTCAATATAGACTCACAAAGGCCTAAGCCCATAAACTTTGCCAGATAAAGTTTAGAGCTGGGTTGGGACCTGGGATCTAATGTTTAGCACAGCACATTCGTTTTACAGAAAGCTAGACGAGACTATTTAAAAAGAAACAAAACCAAACAAACAAACAAGGGAGCATAGCTGGAACGCCATACCAGCATGCATGCATGAATGATGAATCTATCTGGTTCAGGGTTTCACTGGAAAAAGGGGAGCCAGGACTACAAGAAGAGAGTACAGGTTGAGCACCAAGTAAACTATTGCCGCGGAAAAACCGGCTATAAGGGAGCCAGTGACATGGTCGCAGAATTTTGGAACTTGGTCGCAAATGGGAAGCCAACCCGCATGACTGTTCCCTTTCTTGCCTATTTCTGCTACTGCCAAAGCAGCCGAGGTACTCGATGTTAGTAGCATTGCTATAGGCACGTCCATGATCACAATCAAGCGATCCACCGAACTCTTCCAAGATAAAAAGAGAGCTACAAGGCCGTAGCCGCTTGCAATTGCCTCTGCAATCACATAAAACCTATGCACAAATTTGACAAATATACATATTTTAGGAAACTAGACGTGTATGGGGTTTGTCCCCTAAAGAAAAACATTGTAAAGGATTCTTACTTGAATGAAGGGGAGTTGTTATATTTTGCCGTGAATTTTATGTTCAAAACCTCACGAGAGTCATGGCTAGTAACCATGACAACTGTTGCAGAAAGAGTTGCACCCAAAGCTAGAAGCCTTAGGAGAATGGTGATGATTCTCTTGGTTTTGGCCATAAAGGCTTTTCTTCAATGACTAATGAATGATATAGAATGAATAATAGTGGGGTTTAAACTACATATATATGTAGAGATATATAGATGCAGGTCACATATTTGAATAATATGATGCTTGACACTCGTTTCCTCCTCGACAAGTGTTTGAAGATGAAAAGAATGATTTGGTAACCTGCCAAAGCTAGAGATTTCAATATTTGTGGTGAATCAACAAGAGAGGGCTCTTGAATCAAAACTATCGGGTAATTTTGCAGGTTTTTTTCTTTTTCTTTTTTGAATATATATAAATGTAAAAGCTTTGAAGGTTGATTGTAGTGAGAAGCTTTGGGGGGACATTTGATGATAGCTGAATCAGTTCAACTAACATTGTTAAAGATGTACGGCGGTTGCCAATATTCAGTCCAGGTGGGGTTTTGGCCTTGTGCTAGCGCTGGCCTACTTTATTTATGTTCCGCTGGAAGTTCCAATTTCCAAAATTGGGGTAGCTTCGGCTAAATGTCCTAGCGGGTGCTGGTAGGTGCTACTGTCTGCTGCTATGTCAACCATGAAGTTTACTTTATTAAGAATTGTGAGTTATCCTTTTCATCATAAATAGAAACTATTTCGTCGAGACACAAATTCAAAGTTCTAAGTTTTAACATTGAAAAGATTATAATATTGAACCTGCTAATGTCCTTTTGGGGCATCAAACGAGCTAATCTAGGCCCAAAAGAGTGCGGGTACAATTGATGAGCCGGTCAGCCTAAGCTGTACGTAATAAAATCATTGTTATTGGGCTTCTATTATAGTATAACTACTCAAAATCCCCTAGTGGACTACAGTGTCTTCCCACAAAAACGATGTCGTATTGACTTTTGCATCTTTTTACTTGACACCTACACGTTGACGGCGGATCGAAACACACAGTAAAATAGCAATGGAGGGCAAAGAAACTAGGAGATTACAACGGCAAGAAGAAGGACCGCCGCCAGGATGGCAACCTATCCCTCCACAACCTCCTCTTCAACCGCAGCCTTCATCCGGTATGTCTCCTATATTAATGTATTTGTGAATAATTTATAATTATTTCCATCACATCGAATCGATTACTTATATTAATCATCTTGTTTTTCCTTATAAACCTTCTTCCATCTGTATTTTATCGCATGCCGTGAACAAAGCCAGATACCCTTTTTCTATAATGATAAAAGATTTAGAATTTAATTGGGATTTTTAACCGTTAGCTTCTTTCCCAACTCACCCACATTGCCTGTATCTTAGTTTCATGTCATATTTGGCCTTAGCATTTGGGTTTTTTCTCCAATTATATCACAATCATAAGGGTTACAAGTAAACTCTTCGGTGGACCGGCCTTCACCTAGAGTTATATTTTTCTTAGTATTTTCTTCATTTATTTGCTTTCGATATTTTGAATGCAGAAATGGCTCAAATGGTTTGTGGCTCTTGTCGACAATTGCTTTCATATCCACGAGGAACCCAGCAAGCTAAATGTTCATGTTGCGAAACAATCAATTTTATACTTGAAGGTTCCTTTCTTCTTTTCTGATGTTCAATATCAAACATATCATTGCTTTCACCCAAGAGCTGTAATGAAGCTATGCATATAATTGGTTTGAAAATATCTTAGCATGTTCTTCCTCCAATTATTGATATTACCATGAATCATAGTTTTTAAAAGCTTGATCTTTTCACTTGGACAAGAGAATGCAGTCTGGTTTTTATTTCATTCGTCACTTTCATGATTTATTGGTAGAAAATAGAATGTGGTTTCTGACATTTGATTAATCTTCTCTTCTCATTCAGCTCATCAGGTTGGACTGGTTAAGTGTGGCAGTTGTGCAGTGTTGTTGATGTACCCTTATGGAGCTCCATCAGTCAAATGCTCCTCTTGCCTTTGCGTGACGGAAATTGGGGTAATGTGAATTTTCGCTCTTTTTTTCTGGTAGTTTTCATGTTGGCTTGCTTCCGTCAACATATTTTGCTCACATCAGATTGTGTTGTTAGTGCTATCATTTAATAGGAAGTTGAGATCAGTAGATTCATTATGTTAATGCTTCATGTGTAGGCACACAACAGACGCCCTCCGTGGTCTGTACAACTGGGGCAACCGACACCTCCCGATGCTGTGCATTTAACAGCCCCAATGCCCTTCGAATCTATTGAGCCTTGACTATCTTTGATATCTTGATGTTTAGTTGAATTATCCATGTACAGGAATTAGTGCTGATATCTTCCTAATGAAACTTGTAACCTTTTTCGATGTGCTAACCAAAATTTAAGAGTCCTGAATTATGTTTCAGACCAGCTCTCTTGTCATGAAGGTTTAATCTTTTATGCTTCATTTGATAGAAGTATATTTTTTTTCAACATGTCTTAATACGTAAGTTAACAATAAACATCTTCGACCAGTTTCAATGTCTAACCCTGTAATGGGATGAGTGGGTGGCAATCGTTATAGAATCTTCCTGTTATTTTCATTCCCCGGGCCTTGTTAGTCGTAGGATTTGACCTAATTTTAAACCTCATATCAGAGACGACCATTTTTAAAACTTCAATCTCTCATTTTGTTCACTCCATTCAACTTTGGGACACCCCATTGGTCACTCCATCATGTTATTCGGTGCTGCGAAATTAAACCCAATAGTCGCCCCCTGTTTCTGTTTCTAGACCATGGAGCCACAAAGTAAAAACCAAATGTAAATGGAAAAAAGCACATCCCATTGCCGTATAAAAAATTGTAGTAATGAAACGAGATTAGACAAATTGTGTAAGAAGGGCAAGGAAGACAGAATTATGAAGTAGAAAAATGTGTTGCTGCCCAGGATCAAACTGGGGACCTTCGGTGTGTAAGACTGTCGTAATAACCACTACATCACAGCAACTTGTTGAAAAGAAGCTGCACTTAAATTTATATAAATTAAAAAAGAGTTTTTTCTTTTGGGAATAAAGATGACTAACGATTAAGCAGGAGGTAAACCAAGCTAAATAGCTAATAAAGATTACTAAAAATATATCCATATAATCAAGTAGGATATGCATACTTTATGGTTCTATTAAAAGGAAACAGATACTAATGAATGGAAAAGCAAATTAGACAAATCAAGGAGAAGTTATTTATTTGATTGTCATAGTCGAAAGTCTATAGGACAGGTAGATTTTCACCTGTATTTAGCGCTTGGCAGTCAAATAAAAATCTCCACAGAACCCTGGAATTGGGACTGTGATATTCTATTATCACGTCTTTCCTTCGTTTTACAACACTATTTTTGGGAGGTTTTACGCACCAGCAAGCTAAGTAGTAGTTTAAGCTTTGTCTGCTAAAGGCCATGCTCCTTTGTTGTCCAATAATTAGGGTTTTGGTACATGAAGGTGCGGAGATAGCAGATGATAGCAAAAATATTACTCATAAGAAAACTGGATGATAGAAAAATTTACCTTTTCCATTGCCGGGACTTGAATTCGGGTCTCTCGGGTGAGAGCGGGTGAGAGCCGAGTAACCTAACCCACTAGACTACAACAGATTGATAACATTAGTTCTATCATGATTTAAATTGCGTGTACTAAAAAAAAATTGAGTTTGGTAATTTCCTTTTGGACGTTTGATTGGTAACACCTTAATTTTGAAGCAAAGGTATACGGAAACATAGTGTTGGGGAGTTTTGAAGATAAATCAAAACCAGGAAAAAGCCTTTACGTGGTAATGTAAATTGTCCTTCGTTTAACTTGTATGATTTAAGAATCTGTAATTGAAGTCAAAGTTTTAATTTTAAAAAGCCTAAACCACCCTCCTAGATTGTGTGCCTTTCAACCAACGTCAATTGCTTACCGTACTTTATCTGCCGGCTCTATTCAAACATATCCAGCCAGGCCATCTGCTGCCTTATCTATTTTATGGTCCAAACAATTCGTACGGATGTTTAAATTCCATTTAATTAATTAATAAGAATGTTTTTCAATTTATTTATTCGATTCTTTTTAATTTAAAATCTATACATTTTGTTTTCTTCTAATGTTAATGGTACTTGTCTAATTTTTCGGTTGATAACACGTAAGAATTTTGTTTGTAGTTATTTTTTTCTTTTTGCTTTCATCATCAGCCATCACTTGACCTACCTAGTCTTGCCTCTACAATATGGGGCAAGAACTTCCCTATAACCCGATAAAGAAAAATTATAAAACAAAAATCTCCAAATGCATGATTACGACAAATACAAACCCTATATTTTTGACAGTATATGGAATAATATTTAGTTGCTATCATAAAAATAAGTCCATCGTTGAAATTGAAACTAGAATCTTATCTAGAGAAATTGCAAAGGCCGGGGCCGACCAGTGCCAAAAACTAGGCAGATAGCCGATGCTTTATGTCCAAGCCTATGTCCAAGCCTACTTTGAGGTTTATTCGTTCTCTGTTTTCTGTTGACATGGCCGAATCCACGTTGGCAAACTATAATTATTTATACTACTTAGCCGACACCTACCATTAATCCTTCATTGACCAACCCCCGCCAGCCCACTGTCATCTCCAAAGCAATGACTGGCTGCTTGCTTTATTTTCTTACATGAAACCAATTCTTGATTTACAGCTTCCCTTTTGCTTTCAAGTTTCATCAGCTGTCAGAATTTTCATTTTGAATTGAGAAAAAAAAACCAAGGCGGTTTAACCATGACAAACGTTGTCCTAACTGTTATGGAGTCCAAAAATTAACCTTTAATTCATGCAAGCAATCTGCAATAATGGTCCTCAGAGGTCATCTCAAATGTCTGTTTCTCGAAACGTTATCTTTACCGAGTAGTGCGTGTGTGTGTGAAGTCTGAACCATGCTGTTCGGTTTTGAGTCGCTAATCAAACTCGTTACATATGCTAAATTATTGAGCTAAACATCATTAATTAGACGGCTTGGGTTTTGATTTTGGCCCTTTCTGCCGTCCAAAGCTTGAATTTTTTTTATCCTTTTGGATTCCATCAGTTAACAAATCAAATCAATCGTTTATTAATCATGATATGATGCTGGTCAGCTTTTAATCTCAAGATAAATTCTAGGCTAAACCGTATTGCTACTTATAGTCAAAAGCGATTTGTCTAAATCTGAACAATATTGTCATCTCCATTTGACTAATATTGTTCCCAACAAGTCTTATCCTTTGCCAAATTTAGCCACCAATATGATTATAAATACAAAAATGATCCATTCTGGCGATTATCTTGATGATTCTCGCGATCCTAAATCACTTTCCAACCATTTCTTGATATTAGACAACACTACTTCTCGATTGAAAACCGCAAGATAACCATAGGGATCTGGCCCTAAACTTGTGTTTCTCATAATTAACATGGGTGGCTGCTGATGGGTCACTGTTCCCGGGGAATATTCTAAATGAATTCAATTATAAACAAATTTGCACCAACCTTTGAACATTCATGTTTTCAACAATCAATTGCTTAAGTGGTCCGGCAAGGACTAGGAGGACCCCATCATCCATGATGTTCACCTCAGATACGTGCCCGTCAACGTCCCCACCCTTATATCCTAAATCTCACATTTAAGCATTAACGGCTTCATTTATTTTGATTAGCTTGGGAAAATATTTTTAATACCAAACTTGGTTGAATGTTGAACTGTTAACGTCTTAGGCGGACAAGTTAGACTCCGTGTTATTTATATTAATTGATAATTTTAAAGCTTAATCATGAAGCTAAAACTTGCTTAGTCGCTTTCTCTAACATGACATTCCGTGTGTTGTCGTTTGGAAAAAATGTTGAAAGTGCCCACACGAATCAACTTTACCTAACCAAACCGACCAAAAGTTCCATTTCCCATTCACGTTCTCACTCGAACCTTAATTTGTATTTAAAAAAATGCCTTATGCCTCACTCGCGGCTTAATTATTTGCACGTGGCTTTCCATGGCCCAAATTTAAGCGACGGCCAACTTGCAGGAATAATAATAATGGTAATTGTTTCATTTTCATATTCTGATGGATGCTAGCCCTGAAATTTGGACAGAATAAGATCTTGTACACATAGTGATTTTCTCAAGTGGGAGATGCTTCTTTGTATTAACTCAGAGTTTGGGTATTGGAACAAGTAGACATGATTTATCCCTAATTTTTCTCACTGCGTATATCATGATTTATCTTTCCACTAGGTGTGTTCAGTGTATGAGGAACATAAATGAAATGAGTGAGTGAGTGAGTGAGTGAGTGATTGATTAATTTTAATTTTTCTTTGCTTCTTTGTACAATATATCACATATTTTTTGAGAAACCAACCATATCCAATATTTCATGGCCGGTGACCGCTAATTTGACATCAGATGGACCCTACCAAACCATATCTGTTGCTACAGTATAAATTTTGGGAATGGGATAATAATATTTTTAATGTAATATTTATATTATTTAAAAATTTTCATTCATAAATAAGATAATAATGAATATTTAAGTATATTTAATATTATATTAACAAGGTGTGAACAATGACATTGAAGTGTAAATGTGTAATCCAAAATATTCAAACTACTTGTTTCATTGAGTTATTGATAATAAAATATTTTTATATCTGAATTTCATATAATATTTGTGCTGTGGTGTATTGAAAAATAATAATGATTTTATTTTATTTAATATTAATTTTTAGATTTAATCTCCTATAATTCTTTTTATTCATCTTGGCATAAAAAAGAAATTTAAAAATAATAAAAATAAGCATAAATATACATTTTGGTACTTGAATTTAGTTTCTTGATTCAAATTGATACTTGAACTTAGTTTCTTAATTCAAATTGACACTTGAACTTAGTTTCTTAATTCAAATTGACACTTGAACTTAGTTTCTTAATTCAAATTGATACTTGAACTAGTTTCTTAATTCAAATTGATACTTGAGCTTAGTTTCTTGTTGACACTTGAACTTAGTTTCTTGATCCAAATTGATACTAGAGCTTATCTTCTTGATCCAAATTGATACTTGAACTTATCTTCTTGATCCAAATTGTTACTTAAAGTAAATGACTTATTTGAGTCAATTTGAACCATAAAGTCAAGTTCAGTTATCAATCTAAACCAAAAAGTTAAGTTCGAGTATCTAATTGGATAAAAAAATTAAATGATAAAATCATATTCAAGTATCAAACATATATCTAATTTATAAATAATAAGGAGATTAAGGGATTTTTTCTTATTATTTTATAACTAGAAAACACATATGAGTGAAGGAGGTTAGAGGAGCAAGAAGGATCCTCAAGTGATGAATAATGTTTGGATTTTAACATTTATGTATAAATAACATAATTAAATATAAAATATTCTAGATTAACGATTACTTTATTTATTTCATAATTTAGTGCTTTATATTATAAAGTGTTTGTTGAACTGTAAAATCGAATGATACTTTAACGCTGGCTGTAGCAGCCAGCAATAATATAGGGGGAATTGTGGACAGCTTGGAGCCGATCACACACACATATATGTCATAGGTGATCCCACAAGTTTTGCAATCACATGTATATGGCTCTTAGAAGATAGGGTCATCACAGACCTCTAGAGCTGCATCACCTACCACTCCACTCATCACGTGCTGCCAACTAGTTTTAACTCCATACTTATTGGTCCCACAGCAGTACCCCATTGTCATTGGCCTCTCTTCATTTTTTTTATCATATATATATATATATATATATATATATATATAGTTAAATGCTTGATTCATTTGTGTGTACTTATTAAAATATATGAATTTAAATCATTTTTAAAACATAGATTTCTTAAAATATCAGCAAAAGAATAATTTGTAAATCCTTAAATTGAATCATGGTCATTGAAAATCTTTATGCCGTTGATACGTAAGACGATTGAATTTAAAGCCATTAATTAACTAATCCCACTTAATTAGTGAAAATAGATTGTGAAGCACTGATCGATCGAGGGGGTGTTGGGGTGTAATTGTACCTAATTTTAAATTTCTTTATATTATATATATATATATATATTAATTATCTAATTTTATAATTCTTATACTTTTATAATTTCAAAATGTTTAATATAACTTCTTAAATTCATATATTTTAATATAATTTTTTACATTCATGCGTGTAGTATGAAGCATGAACTCTTGTAATCCCTATATATTATATTCTTTGAAATGCATGCATGAGTCATGACCGCTCTTTTATTATTTAATTATCTATTCTTTTGGATGTGTTGATTTTAGGGTTACAACTAGGATGTTATATATGTATACATTCATTAGGAAGAAATTCTGTAAAACTTCAATAATTTAGTTTACTGTTTCTTAGAAGCTATACGTATAAGCATGAGGCTCTATCTACATTCACTTTACAGCCTTGATCCCATAGATACAGTCACTCCACTATCAAGGGTCCAGGCAATCCCACGTGTCATCAACCCACCTTCACCTTCAGAACCAAGGAATTCTCATTTTGCACTATAAAAATTATTTGGAGAGGCCAAGAGGACGAATGCTTGTACATTTATAAATTAGATTTATACAATTATATTTTATCATTATTTTCCCTTTAGATTAGATATAATAGTTAGTATAGGGTGGCATATATTGAAGAGATAGCTTGGATTAAATATGTATATAGAGAGAGAGGGGCTCAAAGAATGCACACTTCTCATCACCATCCAGGGAATTTCCTTCCATATCCAGTTTCTTCAAACCATAACCCTGTTTGGCTTATAAGGAACAATTTCATCATCCTGCTCTTCTTCACCTTCATCCCTCTTCGATCCAAAGGCTAGATTTTCATTTACTTTTTTTTTTCAGTTTTCACCTCATCAATCATCATTTCTTCTGTTGTAGATATATGGGGCTGAGTTCTAAAGAGGTTTCCAGTGATGGTGTAGGGTGGAGCCAATCTTTGTTGCAGGCTCAAACTCTGGAGTTGCCCAAAGCAATGAAGAGGCAAAATCCACAAAACCAGCAGCAATCTGAGTCACTCAAGTGCCCGAGATGTGATTCTACCAACACAAAGTTCTGTTATTACAACAACTACAACAAGTCTCAGCCTAGGCATTTCTGCAAGGATTGTAAACGATACTGGACTAAAGGTGGCACCCTCCGCAATGTTCCTGTCGGTGGTGGCAGCAAAAACAAGAGGCTTAAGACATCAAATAGCACCGCAGCTTCTGCTGCCACCACTGCTACCACTAGCACAACTAAAATTGCCATCAAAAGCTCAACTGCTTCTGGTGTTAACAATAGGCTCAATAACTTCATGGCTATTCAACGATCACAGCAACAAAGGCAGGATCTTCAGCTTCCACTTGCTGATCAAAAGAACACATCGAGTACGCAATTTCAGGTGATGGGTCGTCCAGTCCCACCATCTTCATCGTTGCTGCAGAATCCCATCAATGGCAGCAACTTGGACAGCAAAAGTTTAAATTGTGTGTTTCTGGGTTCAACTTCAACGGGCCCGTCGTTGCCTCAAACTCAAGGCTTACAGTTTCCATTTTCAAGCTCAAATTCATGTTCTTTTGAGACAACCCCATCTTCAATATCAACCTCATTTCAATCTCCAAGTGTCTATAACTACACAGGTGAAACAATGGAGGATCCAACAATCACCAGCATCACCATGCCAACCCCAAGTGCCACTGTTTCACTCACATGGGAAGTACCTATCACAAGCAGCGACATGGACATAGCAAACTACTGGAATTTGGATGACATCGATGCACTTGTCTCTACTGATCTCAACATGCCATGGGATGATTCTGAGATCAAACCATGAAGGTCTTTTAACCATATATCCATTCTCTACATCTTTTTTTTCTCTTCTTGATTTGGTTTTCTTATTTGATGAAGAACGTTATTTCCCCCCTTCTTTGGGTGTCTATTTTCCCTTTCATATTGATCATTAATCATGTATAGTCTCCCCTTTCAACTTGTAACTGATAAAAAATGAGGAAGCTGCCATTTTTCAAATTCAGCTTCAGGGTGATGGTGTACATTTAGTACTCTACCTCATATATATATATATGTGTGTTTGTGTTTTATGTTAGGGTTGTTCTTGAATATGTTATGAAAGGAATAAGAGAGAGATGGGATAGGATGGGGTCTCTTCCAGCTATGCTGAGTAAACTGGATGCGATTGAAGATTCTTTTGAATATGCATATTTCTGGATATCTGAGTACAAGTAATATTTACATGGATTCATTTCTTCATAGTTTATGACCACTTGTTCTGAATCATTCTATTTTCTTTGTCCTGACACTGTTCTAGTTGTAAAGCTGTTTCATTCATTAGTTTTTCTGTTCACTTCTGGCATGTCGAAAACTATGTGCTTGTGTATTTTATTAATGTTTATTAGTATTTTATTAGGCACCAAAATCTTTGTTTCAATACGATATGACGTTTCATTGCTTGTGCAGCTGCACAAGTAGTCCCAATTATTCTTTCACCAAATAAAAGAATTTTAGGTTGGCTTTTTAATATGTTTTCCATGACTAAATCAAGAAATTTCTACTTGTAACATAACAGAGAATATGGGTGTCTTCATCAAATATGAGAGGAGTTTGTTTCACGTCGGTTTCATGATTGGTCGGCTTCGCGTCATCTTTTTTAAATTCTAAAAACAAGTCATTTTCATATTTCCTCGTACTGAAATATTATTTATGGACGGTATCCAGTTTACACTGGCTCTCTCTTCCGCTTTTTCTTAAGTATCCATGAAGATTACTATATATTACTGAATATTACAGAAACCTGTAAAGTGGGAAACACACATCAATCACACATATTGTCACCCAACTTGTCTACTACAAAAACGTTAAGGTCAATTAACAACGGATACAAAATTTAGATTCCTTACGACGGTCTCCGAGCACATCCATCTATAGGTTTCCCATCCTCACTCCAGTGTCTTTGCCGTTGTTTATTGTTGCATCATCAGCCTTGGAATAACTCACATAGTAAAGCTCAGAGACAATGGCTGTTAGGAAAACAAATGCAGCCCCAGCGCCAAAGACGCCCTTTCTCAGTGTCGCGCATGAAGGGGGATCGTTTAAGAGGTTCTTGTACTTGGTGTGATAAGCATTCCGCACTGACCCCGCCAGCAAGCAAGCTTCTGCAATGAAAAAGAACACCCTGAAATAGTGATGCAGCACATAGTTTAGATGATAGGAAACTAACAGAAAGCATTAAAATGCATTCATTGACAAGGTTGTTCAAGCCCTCTTCTTGACCATGAAAACATACCAACAAGTGATAAATAGGACAACCGCCCATGCCCTAGATCCACTTGGTCTCATGGCCTTCCCACAACATAAGCATCGACTAGCCACCATTATTATCATTTGACTAAGCAGAAGGAATAGGAATGAACCCACACCCAAACCAGTTGCAATATCCTCATCATAAACACAATAACTTTCTTTTCCATCTTTACCAACAGTCGCCTGCAGAAAGCAAATGACAGGACGCCCTGTTATTATAAACCAGGTTTTATCCGATATAGAGTGGGAAATCGTTACACTCAAGCTTAACAGAGATAAAACATCACACTGATCTCAGAATCTATTCCTTGAAACAAACAAATTTGCAACATTGATACCTTTTACGAACTCATATTTTGCTTGTCACCATGAAGCTAGAATAGTGAAACAAAGCATGCAAAATTAACTGTAAGATGCACTAATTTATCAAGATATAAATGATAATACAATATGTATACAATAATATCTTTATAAGTTACACCATTTGTCACTTCATTAAAACTTTCATCTGCTCTTGAAAGAAGCATATAGTCTATGATCATAAAACCAAACAACCACCCTGTCCAAATCCCATCCATAAAGAGAAGCAACAATGAGAATTCTTCAATGCAATGACCTATCTGCAAGACCATAATTGAAAACAACCGTACTAAAGCACTAAACTTGGGTTCAAAATGTACAGTAATATAGCATCTTAAATGATATTAAAGACAAACAAAGTTCTCAGCATTTTTTCCTCTAGTCTTTTCCTACATATTATCTGAACAACAGGTTAAAGCAAATTCATTCCGGATCTAACCAAAAGATATAACTTTCTGCATACAATAAGAAAAAAAGGCTTATTCTTTTCTTTTCTATATCAAATCAAAATCCCAAATTCGCAAATCTTAAACCAAATAAACTAACCAAATTTCTGGGAATTAGCGGGGTTTAAAACAGGGATATCCCAGAAAAAGGAAACGAAACTGAAACAGGGAAGAGTTGCTACAAAAGGCAGTTTACTAAATATAAAGTGAGGAATTAGAAAAACTCACAGTACTTCTCCTTTGCTCAGAAGCAACAGCAAGTGCGAAAGCAATCAGATCAATCACAAAAACCAGAGCTAGTAACAACCTTGAAGCCATAGTTCAAACAAATAAATAAAACCCAGAAAGCAAAAGCAAAAATCTCGAGAAAATGTGACGCAGGGAAGCAAAAAGACGATAGAAAAAAGTTAAGAAAGAAGCGCAAGTGGTAGCTATGATGAAAAAATAATGCAGAGATATGGATGAAGTAATTTGGCCGCTTTTTATTTGGAATAAATTTGCTAATTAATTAGCAAGTTCTTAAGAAAAGGCCAAAGTGATAACAATAATACAAGGCTCCTGGATTCGCTCTTTTCCTACAATAACATGATAAATAAAGGAACATAGAATTATTATTTTTAAAAAAAAAAACTAAAATAATGCATTATTTAAATATAAAAATCAGTTAATCTAACCTTTCTAATGCGTGGAAAATCATTTTGCTGACTTTCTCTTTGTCCTATGCGGCAATACCGAGAATTCAATACAATCAGACCCAATTTAAAATATAATATTTTAAATTTAAATATAGTTTGAATTTTAAAACAACTACTTTTAATTTTTTAAATATTTTTTTTAAAAAATTCAAACTCACATGCTGGATCTTGAGCAGCCAAACCGAAATGAACCATTTTATTTATGAACAGCTTGCATATGAAGGATTCAAATATTTCTCAGTTAGATTAATTGAATGGACTGAATATTGAATATATATATATATATATATATATATATATATATATTGATTTAGTGTGTAATTTAATATTTATATTTAATGATGTCAAATCAATGATAATAGTAGTTGTTTGTGTAAATATCAAATTAAAATATAATATATAAAATCAAAGTTTATATATCATTTTACATATTGTAAGATTTATTTTTAATTGCTTTACACATTAAAAAGTCGATTTAGGTCATACATTTTGAATGCTTTAACTGTAAGTATTATTATAAAAAAACTGTGTATCACAATAAGAAGTATACAAATTACAAACGAAAGCAACTTTGTTTTGCAAGACAAAGATGACTGACATCGACAGTAGAAAAATAATATGGGGGTAAAAATTGAGTTTTTTTAGAATTTTTATAACTTATTGAAACAAACAATGGTGAAATGAATTGCGAGTGTAACTTAGAAATATTGACAATGTATACAGTCACGTGCATGAGGATCTAACGTCTCGATTATATGATCTGCAGTGCATGTTCCAAGCGAATTCACTTGGCTCGAGAGATTTCGAGCTTGAATCCAATCCTCCTCAAAATGTGAAGGGCCGGATGCCATATCTCAACCATTCATAAGATCAAGGATCTATTGAGGCTTCTTTCTTAAGTTGCTCTGAGTTTGATAGAATTCACGCTGTTGGTTGCTTGAGCAGTGGAGACATTTTTGTTCTTGTCACTCTTTATGGAACCTTTTGCTGCTTTACTTTCTAATGGTGATTTCTTGGATACAGCCGAAGCATAACCGGAGGCCGCAGTTCTCTCCGCAATTCTTTTCTGTCGTTCAATCAGTAGTTGTTCCATCTTCCTCCGCATTTCTTCTTCCTGGTGATAAGCATAATTAGCATTAGAAGTTATAAAGAAATTAATAAAGGGAAAGGTTTATATTTGGTTGGTACTTGGAAGTCATATTAACCATTACCTTCTCCAACTTGCTCTTTTGAGTAATGGACCTACTAACAAGAGATGGTTTCTTGCTCTTGGACACATTTTCAGCTTTGCCCCTCCCTATGGGTCCATTTAAAACTCTAGACCTTGTTTCTTTGGTTGGCTTTTTTGTTCCATGGACTTCATCACGCTTGGCAATGGTGTTCTTATGATTGGAAAAAGCTTTCTCATCATCATCACATTTGGTTGCTGCACTTTTATTTGTTTCAGTAAATGATAAATCAATTTGATAATCCACTGTCCAGGAGTCTCTGGAGGATTCGTATCCAGGGTTTCGTTCAAGCACCATGCAAAGGTCAATCGGCTTAGCATCAAGTATCTTATGCTCATCTTGTGAAACATCATTTGTACCATCTGGTTTGCTAGGTGAAGTTAGATCTGCAACCATACTTATATCTGTTTTCCAATGGGAATCATTCTGATCATCACCTGTCAGCCGAGCTGCAACCATGAAAGAATCGTCGACAAGAACATCTTTCTTACTCTTCTGAGAATATAGAGGATCACTCTCAACTGATAAAATACGAGAGCCATTAAAAAGCATCTTATTATTGGATGAGTGGTGATTTTCGGGATTCATGGGATGATTTCCAAGAAACCAATCTTCTTCCTTTCCACACCTGATTATGGCTGATTTATTTGCAGAAGCAGTTATGGGATCACCAAGCTTCTTTCCAGATTCAACCGATCTCTCTGGAGGTAACAAATCCACTTCTACACTGTCCCCTTTCTTCATTATTGGACGATAATTCTCTCCATTAACAAAATCATCCAACTTCACCCTAGTTTCATTAATCTCATCCCTCTCAGTCACGACAAAAGAATCAACCAAACCTGAACGTTTAACTGGAGTTTTCTGAGATTCGAAGTTCAAAGGAGTAGTTGCAGAAATTTCACCATTGAGATTTCTAGCCATGAAATGGTCCTGATCATCCTCAGCTTGCTTCCATTCTACTTCATTCACACTTACCCTTTCTTCACCCCTCATTAGAAGTTTTTGGAGAGCACCCCAGTTTCCATTTCTTTTTCCTCCCTCTGATGCGTTTAGGTCATGATCATCAGTTGATTTTTCTGCAATGTGGTGGCTCTTGTCTGTGCCTCTTCTTTTGTTGTTACTTGAGTTTGATTTGCCTGATTCCTTCAGTGACTTGACTGCATCATCCACTTTCTGTTTTAAGGAATCTGCATCAATTATATCATCCTCACCAGAATAAGATCCATCTGAAGCTTGATCTTTCTCTCCACTTCTCCTCTTTGGAGTGATGTAGTTAATATTATGAATGACAACTGTTCTGGACGACTTCTTAAGGTTTTTCTTCCTATATGGAGGATCTGGTGATGAATGCCTTCTATCTTCCTGATCCACGTCTGAACCTGACTCACTTTCAGTTACAGAGTCAGAGCCACTGGATTCTGTTTCCCTTTCTTCTCCCAAATAATCAAGTTTTTTCCCATTCGACGATTTCTTCTTTAGCTTGGAGGATGATTTCTGATTCGAATTAGGAGGCCACTGCATATTCATTGGATATGGAAGTGGCACAGGCTGCATAGGATGGAAGGGATATCCTTGATATTGAGGTAGCTGGCCTTGAAAATTATACATATGCTGAGGCATCTGATTTAGCCATTGAATTGGAACTTGATATTTTGGGGTAGTTGATGATGGTGTATGATCTGATGCAGGCAAATCCTCATCTGTATTTACATCGGAGGAACCAAATATTATCTTTCGGAGTATAAACAAATTTCATATTTAGTGCAAATAAGAGATTCTAATCCGAAAGTATAATTTTAAATTCAGTGAAGTTTGAGAGGACTTATGGATGCCTTGCCGATATGTCAAGTAAGAAGTAAGACTGTATCCAATGTGTGAATCAGGCAAATGCTTTGCGTTTATACAGACAAGTGCAGTTGAGTCAACAGGAATGATGATGATGATAATGAGATGTATTCTATAAGCATGGTTGTTGTTAAGCACTGATGGAAAGGAAAGAAAAAGCTATAAGCCTCTGAGATACCTTTCTTGCTGTCCACAGCTCCAGCACATGTTGTGTCTGATTTTGATGCTTCCGAAGATTCATTTGAAGTGTGATAATCTTTAGATGCACCATTAATACTCGACATGAGATTCGGATTAGGGATGCTAATTCCATTTGCAAGCACAATGCCCGATGCTCCCAACGATGGCGGTTCTGATGGTGAGCATGCCTCAACTGCAGCTAATTCTTCCATCCAAAGACGGTCTGCATGTTTTTTCTTGCATAATTCCTTGAAATTAATGCAAGCTTCCCTATAAATAAACAATGCTTGATTATAAGACCCTAAGTGGGCTTATATGGAACTAATTTAACACAGGTTCAGTGCATCTGAAGCTACTTCAAAGAAACTTTCAGGTACAGAAAAAGGGTTTGTCATGAACAGATAAATATGTATGTGTTTCAACTGTAAAACTATCCTATAATGCTTGTAGTTAATGTTTCATACCTTAACCTGGATGCTCCAAATGCATCTGCAAAGGAAATGAGATGTTCCATATTTTCCATTGCAAACCCAGCAACCAGCCCACGAGCATAAGTCATTGCTTGCTCTTTCCATAGCAAGGCTTTTCGAGTTTCCAGTAGCCATTGAAGTTGAACCCTACTCACGAAAATGATCAAATTAATCAAATCAAGGGTATCCGATGCACTGGGAGTTTGAATTAGTATCACCAAAATTAGGCCATTCAAGGATAAAATAAGTTACTTGGAGTTCTCTTCCTGTTTAATCTCATCTTTTGTCTTGAGTTCACCCAGCACCCAGTGACAAACAAACATAAAAGAATAATATCAGACACTTGAAATAACAGAAGATGTGAATTTCTGGGGTGAGGGAAGATCACATTTAGTTTATGAATTATTCAAAAAAAGAAGTAAAAGAAATACCTTTGTCAAATCAGTTGACTTCTTTGTATGACCATTTGCATCTGACCCATATGACAAAAACAAATCAATTGAGTTGCATTGCAGATATTTTAAATTAAACTAATATGCATCAGTTCTTATTTTGAACCAACAAAGAGATTTGGGCAAAATGGAAAACTTTGGTAGCAAAAATTGAAGTCATTGAGCATACCTTCCTCCTGTCTTCCTTTGGCATTAGCTAATTCATTATCTTGAATTGATCTCTCAATTTGCAGGATTTCTGTTTCTATGGTAACAAACCTTTCAAGAACTGCTGGTGCACTAACAAAGCGCACAAATCTGCAGAACAAGAGAAACAAATATTAGTCTAAAAGGGCATTTCAGACTTTTCTCTTTTAAAGCTTTCACCCCCTCCTCTCCTATTGAACTAGCTTAATTAGAATCCATCATCAGATTGCTGTGCTGGGTAAATTTATCAGAATCCTACAAATGCAAGGACCAAATGCTTGAATTCCAACTCGAAAGAATCAAGAGTGAGTAGCGAATCACCTCTCAAAAGTAGCTTTGGTGAACCAGCGTGTACCAGGAGCAGGTGGCTGCAAAGTAATCGAATACCCACCTTTTGAAATCTGATCTCTTGCAAATTTGAGATGACACATGAAGGGTTCAAAAATCCCAGAAGCAAGTTTCTCATTCTTCCCTTTGTAGAAGAGCACCAGATCAAATCTTCAACAACAACAAAAGAAACACAGTTCAGTTCACTCATTTCATTATAAGAGAGTGCAAACATCAATCGTAACTGACCTAGTTCGAGTTGGAGTGAGTTGAAATAAAGCACGATCAAGGATAGTAGTTGAGTCCATCGACTGAGAAATTCAAACAAAAAGCATATCAATGATATTCTTGAAGTAAAGTCCAAGCATTGGGTTTGGTTTTGGTGTTTATTGGGAAAGTACTGGACAAAGTGCAAAGCTTAAAGTGAAGAGTTAATGAAACTGCTGGTCACAATCGTCGAAGAAGTAGATTTTGCTTGAAAAGATGATGAACAACTGTAAATGAACGTGAATGAAAGAGAAAGGTGGATAGAAAGCCAGCCGAAGATGATGAAGTTTTGCACATCCAAAGATTGATTCCACAAATAATTCATCGATATTTTTCTTTTAATCCCTAGAAAATAACTTTTTAAGGTTATTATTCTATGATCTATTACAATCAACAACTTAAGTAAACTGTCAAGATGATCGCTTAACTTTTAGAATACTTTCATTTTGGTCACAAAAGAAATTTTCTCTCAATCTAATCACCGTCGTTATAGAAATTGTCCATTTTATTCCCCTAAGCGTTAAAATCTTAACCATATTAATAGTAAACTATCCAATTGGTCACCTAAATTTTAGAAATTTTAGGATACTTTCTTTGGGTAACTTAGTAATTGTCTTCTATGTAGATCAATATTTTCTACATTATTTTATTTTATACTATTCTAAAAAGCTTTAAATATTATTATTTTATTAAGAGTTGTTGGTATTTTATTTATTTTTTAACTATAATATTGGTCTCATTTAGTCATAAAAATTCCCTCTTTGATCTACCAATGGGGCAATATCGGTAGCTACGGTTTGATTGGAGCCCACTATGAGACAGACACATATGAAAGCTTAGCCGGAACCTGTAACATTTTGGTGTTAATTAAGATTTAAGACCCACTCCCTCTCCCTATTATATTATTGATTTATGGTACGTGATGTGTGACCAATCAAACATCATATAGTTTATAAAGAAGCAGATAAATATATCTTTTCCAATTTCAGCTTATTGCAAACAATAATGAGATTCCTCGACAGTACCATAAACAATGGGCCTTTAGCAAGTTCCAATCGAGGAAGGTTTGTGGTTAACATTTGTGAATTAAAGAGGTCAATTTTAGGCACGTGGATGGCCGAAGGCAAAGATTATGTGGAACGAATACTGATTTCAACATTTTGGACTTCATACGAAAAGTTGGGCTAAACCGCTAATACTAAGTCAGGCCATCAATTCATGTAGGTTATATTATGTTTAAATTTTGCAAAATGAATCATAAAAATAATTTTATTTAAAAAAAACAGTTAGATAACATTATAATTATAAGTAGTCCAAACAAAAAATATTACGTTTTTGGTAATTGAATTCCAAGTCTAAATTATTCAACATGTTTTGGGTTATCCCACTTTGGAGGTAATTTTCTTTCGGCTTCAGAGGAGACTAGAGAGTACCCGTCCCAAATTAAGGGCCATGCACTTTGATTGCGTCGCTGTTTCACCTTTGTGGTGGAAGATCTTAATTGTGGTCTTATTTGAATTAAAAAACTGGCCATAAATACTTTCAATTCAACACTCTGCACCTAATTACAAACCTACAACCAAATCTTAATTAGATTTATGTCAACAATTAATATTGAATTTGAAAAAAAACAAAACAAAAAAATAGATCAATATTTTTAAATAAAAAAGTTAAAGACTCAATTTTATATAAATAAAGTATAGAGATTAAATTTTAAATTAGTAAAAAAATTTCTGAAATATTTACATAAATTTTTGATACAACGACTATTTTTTAATCAATCTAAGAGTGATTATAAAGTAGTATTTGTTTGAAAAACTCTCAACTTTTTGATAATGAATATTTAAAAACTCGACATACGATGTATTCAAACCCGAGATCTCTAAGTATAATAATCATCTCTTTAACCACTAAGATAATTTGATTCATTCACAATACAATAAATATTTTGAACTATAATGATTACTCTTCATTCATAAACCAAAAGATAATATATATTTACATGCACTCAAATTTACACTATTTTATATATTACAGTAACAATAATAATAATCTAAACTCATTCCACATCAATATCACTTTTATTAGATTCAGGCACACACACAAATATAGTTTGCTCTTATTAGGTGAAAATTTAAATTTCATATAAGGCTTACTACACTTTTAAGTGTATAAATTAATTTTCGGTATCTAAAGATTTTTTCATTAAAAATGTTAAAAATAGGTGTTTAACATTTTTAACGTTATACTTTTAGGTGTATGTATCATAATGACCGTTAAGTTTGGCTGTTATCTGACACGTAACATCCATATAAATTTTATTTTTTAAAAAAAACTTAAAATTTCTATTTTTATAAGAAAACCCATTTTTTTAAATTATAAAAAACCCAAAATCTCATAAAACCCTAATTTCAATCCCTTCACCATCACTGGCCGTCATAACCACCACCAATCGGTCAAAATCTCGATGGCGTCTAATCGCCTAAATACCCAATGACTGAACCTCCATTATTCAAGCTACGATTGTCGCAAAAAATGGACGATTGCAACGTTTGGAGATGGAGAGGAATACACGACTTCTAATGATTTTCTATTGAACGACGATCGACGTGGGTGAAAAATGATGATCAGGGTTTGGTCGAGGAACAATGGTGACCTTGGGGGTGACGACGGTATAGGCCACGAACGATTGGTGAAGGGTCGCCGACAAACAACGGCGGGGGAGGGAGATCACAACGTGGGGGTTTATTTTTAAAAAAATTTCTTTTTAAAAAACTATATCTTTATTCTTTAAAAATAACAAAAATTAAAAAAAATTATAATGGCAGTCACCTAAAAGTGTACACAGAAAACGTTAGACATCTATTTTTAGCAAAAAAAAATCTTTAGGCACAAAAAATCAATTTGGAGTATAGTTTAGGCACTTAAAAATGTATTAATATTTTCATTAAAATATTCAAGTGTGTTATGAATATATTATGTGGATGTCATTATTACTCATATTAGTTAATATGACTTTTAGCATTCTTGAATGAATTGAGAAGAAAAAATGCCAAAGGACTTGACTCTTCACATGTATTATATTTATTAGAGAACATATAGATATGTAGATACATCTATCTCTATTTTCTCTTAGATATCTCTATTTTATTTTAAAAGGTGTTATTCGCACGATTCGAAAATATTGTTGGGCAAGGCTGAACAAAAGTGAATATGTAAAAACATATCCACTTTATGAGACAATTTATTGAGAAGTTGTAGAAGAATGATGGACAAATTCTAGTTGCAAATGGGTCTAATGCACGCTTGAATCATGGTGGACCAATTGGTTCCAAAGATAAGAATCCTTAAAAAAGAAAAGAAGTAAAGAATAATGATGGTCAAATCGAGGAAACAATGGTTTTACCAAGATCTCCAGAAAAGAATTTAGACATGATTGGGAAAATAGTTGCAGAAGAAACTCAAGTACCTAAAAATGAAGAGATCTCTATTGATCATGTCATGTCCGGTATTAATTGGAACCGAAATCAAATCGACGTCGATTATGTTTTTGAATGCAATGTAGCACTAGATGTTATGAATGACAAAGAGGATCATGAACCAAAATCAATTGAGGAATGTAAACAAAGAGATGATTGGCCAAAATGGAAAGAAACAATTAAAGCTAAATTGAAATCGCTAGCGAAAAGAAAAATGTTTAGACCAATAATTCGTACACCTGTAGGTGTGAAACCGGTGAGATACAAATGAGTCTTTAGGCGTAAAAGAAATGAAAAAGGAGAAATTGTGAGATATAAAGCACATTTAGTTACACAAGGATTCTAACAAAGACATGAAATTGATTATGAAGAGACATATTCTCCTGTGGTGGATGCAACTACAATTAGATTTTTGATAAGTTTGGCTATCAGAGAACGCCTAATGGATATAATAACAGTTTATTTATATGGCCCACTAGATACTAACATTTATATGAAACTCACTGAGGAATTTAAACTGCCAGAAGCAGTGAATTCAGGTTCTCGAGAACATTATTCAATCAAATTGAAAAGATCCCTCTATGGACTGAAATAATCTGGATGCATGTGGTATAATTGCCTAAGCAAGTTTTTGTTAAAAAAGGGTTATAAGAATGATCCAGTTTGCCCATGCATTTTTATTAAGAAGTCTGGAATTGGATACGTTATTATTGCAGTATATGTAGATGATTTAAATATCATTGGAACCCTTGAAGAGATTCAAAGTGCAATTGATTTTTTGAAGAAAGAATTCGAGATGAAAGACCTTGGAAAAAATGAAATTTTGTTTGGGGTTACAAATTGAGCACCTAAAAGATGGAATCCTTGTGCATCAATCAACATATATAGAAAAAGTGCTAAAGCGATTTTTATATAGATAAGGCACATCCAGTGACTACCCCAATGGTTGTAAGAGCACTTGAACCGAGTAAAGATCATTTCCATCCTCGAGAAGATGATGAAGTTTTTCTTGGTTCTGAAGTATCATACCTTAGTGCAATTGGGACATTGATGTATCTTACTAGTTATACCCGACCTGATATATCATTTTATGTAAATTTGCTGGCAAGATTTAGCTCATGCCCAACTCGAAGACATTGGACTGGAGTTAAGCAAGTATTCATTATCTCTGAGGCACAAAAGATATAGGTCTGTTTTTCCATTATAAATCCAAAACAAAGTTGATTGGTTTTGCATATCGGAATTTATGTCAGATTCTCATAATGATAAATCATATATTGGATATGTTTTTACATATGGTGGTACAACAATCTCTTGGCGCTCCATGAAGTAAACGATTACAACAACTTCTTCTAATCATACAGAAATCTTAACAATCCATGAAGCTAGTTGTGAATGTGTATGGCTAAGATCTATGATTCAACACATACATAATAATTGTGGTTTATCATTTGGAAAAGAAGTTGCTAATGTGTAGTTTGAAGATAATACAACATGCATTGAACAACTCAAAAGTGGGTACATCAAAGGTGATAGAACGAAACATGTTGCACCTAAATTTTTCTTCACTCATGACCTTCAGAAGCTTAAAGAGATAAAAGTTAATCAAATCAGTTCAAGTGAGAATTTGGCAGATTTATTCACTAAACATCTGTGTTTCAAAAGTTAATACACCACATTGGAATGCATCACCATAGAGATCTCAAGTGATGCAGCCATTAGGGGGAGTAAATTTTAATCAAAGGTTAAAAGGTTTGATTTCTTATGTTTTTATAATGGTCAAGTTTCAGTTTACCATCATTATATGAATTTATACATTGTATCAGATACAAATCCTAATTTATTTTTGTCAGAAAATGTGATTTTAATGTAAGAACTATTGTATGGCATGAGTTTAAACATTTGCAGTTGATAAATTTGGACGTTTCATGGAAAAGTGATGTAAATTATTCTTCATTTGTAACTTAGAGTTCCAATGTCTTCGCAAAATGGCAATGGCGGTGGTTGGCCGGCTGAAATAAATTCACTGAAAACTTAAACACCGCCCCTATTTTTTTTAATAAAAGAATGTGAAAGTGCTTAGAAATGCCAAAGTTGCTTTTTTGTAATGAAAAATATGAATGTGCTGTTTTTTTCTCAAACGCCGCCCTTTGATTTTGTTGAGTGTCCAATCCGTCGGTTTCACGGTTTTCTATATCCCTTCATTGCATAACCTGTTAGACAACGTACGATAACTTAGGTCTTGTACAACTTATGAATGTGTGGTGTGATAAGCTTAATCATTATTATCTTATTTCAAATTTCTATCCCATGAGATCCATATTTAAAAGTTTTGTGAAACATTTTCTTGTGCGATGTATCGTTATCATCGTTGTTTTGTTATCTTTGTCATTCTAGAAAATTGGGTTTACCTAAAAAGAAAAAAGTGAAACACTTATCTTACGTATCTAATTTTATTTACCTCATTACGATGGGCATAAAAATTAGGTATATATTTAACGTTTTTAAAAATAAATAAATAAATAAGAACCTGTGAAAACAAATCAGTAATTGGAAGAGCGAAAACTAAATAAAAGATTAATATTAAATAGACGTGTTTGAAGGGTTAAGCTCGGGTGAAGCGATCAAGGCTTTTGTTTTTCCTCCTATCATTTTCCTTTTTGTTTGCATTCTGTCAAACATAAACCCAAGAATTCTTCGATTGAAAATCAAATCTGAGCCGTTAAACAAATCCCATCACAACTTTTTTTAATCTATAAATACATCTTCCAGCGTCTTTATCCCGCTCAAGCTCTCTCCCATACAACTTTCAAACAGAAAAAACAAAAATCGGATACATTTGGAATTAATTTCTGTAGCTTTGAATAAATATTTTTTTAGCTTCTCCAAGGAGCCATGCAGCTGCGTGGTGCTTCATCTGCCAAGAGCTTGTACCGTAAAATCCTTGAACCCAAAACCCGAGTCAATGCAACCACTAAAACCCCATGCGATATCTTTATTAACCATCGAGGAATCGATACGAAGAAAAAAATTGCAGGCTTGCTTGATGATCATTTTTACAGGATGGGGTTAAGGCCCTTCCTGGATAACAGAAACATGCAGCCCGGTGACAGATTATACGATGAAATCAATCCTGCGATTCGTAATTGTAAAATCGGCGTGGCAGTCTTTTCTCCCAATTATTGCGATTCACACTTTTGCCTCCACGAGCTCGCCCTTCTTATAGAGAATAAGAAAAGGGTTATACCGATATTTTGCGATGTGAAACCATCTCAGCTTCGGGTTATGGATTACGGGATGAGTTCGGCCAAGGAGCTGGAAAGGTTTAGCTGGGCTCTCGAGGAAGCAAAGCACACTGTTGGACTCACATTTGACACTTTGACAGGGTACGAATTACCATCTTTTTTGTTTGCTTTAATTGATATAATGATCACGACGATTCTAATTTTTTTCCTCGTTTTTTGGATACGTAGGGACTGGTCGCATTTCTTGAATACTGCAACCGATGCCGTCATTAAGAATTTGGCGAAGTTGGAAGCTGGAAATTCAAGCAAGAGTTGTGCAGCGTCGTCGTGAATGAAAATGAAGATCATTTATCAAAGTATTATAGGTGTTTTGCCTTTAACCCTAAGGTTTTTTTAATAATATATTCCTCAAATGAATCATTTTTTGTGTATATGGAAAGAACTGAAACCAAAAATTTACTTCCTAAACACTTGGTGGGAAGATCTCCATATAAAAGTTGTAGGATTTTATATATTTTTCTTACTATCTCCCTACATTGACAATAAGTGTAGATATAGATGCAAAATTCAAAACATGTAATATATCGCACAGAAATTAGATCCATGGGGTTAATATTCTTTTGTAATAAGTTGCAGATTCAATAGATTTGCTTTCTTTTGTGTATATAATATATGTTCACCATTGGAGCTAGGTCTTGTGTTGAAAGAAGAGAATCTGCACAATCTTCGTTTATATCCAACAATTTAATCTCCTTAGCATTAATTATTTATTTTCATGTACAGAAACTTCAGCGACATTGCATCAGTTGATGATTATTTATTTTCATGTACAGGAACTTCCGCGACATTGCATCAGTTGATGAGCACTGTACGATAGAGTGAAGTTTTCATGAATCTCTTAGGAAGTACAATATTTTAGGAGGGTACAATTTATCTAAAATGTTTTTCTTCGATTTATATTTAAATATGAAAATAGAGGAAATTATTTTTTATGCAAATAGAAGTAGTTAATTTTATTAAAGAATAAAAATATAAAATTACAACGAAAGTTTAAACTATAAATGTACACTAACACAAGAAATTAAGAGAAAGAGCAAAGACCGATAAAAAGGACAAAAAAACATGTCAAAAGGGAAAGGAAAATATACCATAAAAATAAAGTTATTGAAAACTAAAAGATAAAGAAAAAACAAAGATGTGATATAAGAAAATAAATAAAAAACAATAAATACTGATAGTCGACGATAAATACTAAAACTAATATCACTACCGATCAATAAAAAATGAAGAAAAAAAGTAAACTACTAGGGCAAAGAAAAAGGAAAAACGAAATGTTTTCCAAACAGCTGATTTGCAATTGTTATTAAATTCTTTTTCCAAAAATTATTTTTTATATCATAAAAATCTCAAAAAATTAAATATATCATCATATTGTTTGAAGTTACAAATAAAAGATATGATTACATTTATAAGTAGGATAAATTAGAAATTATAACAGTCAATTTTTTTAAAAAATAATTTATACGTTAATGTACTCATATTTTGATTATTCGAACGTTAAATAAAAAAAATTAAAATGATGACATAATATTCACATGTTGGATTGATTTTATTAATATGACATTTATATATTATTTAGGTCATTTTCTTTCTATTTTTCTTTTTTAATTTTATTTTTTTCTTCTAGAATGAATAAAAGATATTGTAAATTATAAAATTGAAAATATTTATATTATTGATGTATCAGCGTCGACAATTATTTTTTAATGTTAACTGGAGAAGATCTATTAGCATTGACTTTGAGGGTGGAAAACGTTGGTGATTTAGATGTATCACATGCTTCTCAAATTGTTTGATGGCAATTTTATTGCTAATAAATTATAGGGGATATTTCCCTGAGATTTTTTACGATGGCTTCTAGAATCCATTGATAATTGCAAAATAAATCGAAGCTCCTTATTATTTTTTTACTTTTAATTATTTTATATTGCATGAACTACTTCTAATAATTGTGAAGGGTATTTAATTTTTTTAAAATAAACTAAAATGATTATATAATATTTATTCATATTTTTTAAAATATTAATAATATAAATAGAGAAAATAACCTCAGTGACCAAAAATCCTAGATAATATACGATTTTGACCAACTTTTTTTGGATTTGCGAAAATGACCAACAAAATCGCAATGCGATCTCCACTATCGCAAATTCGCATTGCGATAGTCTACAGTTGTCGTTGCGATTTTCCAAATTCGTTGCGAAAATTCGTTGTGATAGTTAAAAAAAAAGATTTTGTTTCTTAAGAATTTTCTCTAAAAAGATAGTATCCGCGCGGACGTGTCGAAGACACGTATTACCACGACCACGACCACGACCACGACCACGACCACGACCACGACCCGACCCGACCCGACCCGACCCGAGACGATACGGACGGCGGCGGCGGCGCGCGAGAGTCCCCCTTGTTCTCTATCACTCAACAAGGAAGTGGGAAAGCCAAGCCTTAAATACCATTCCCAATAGTGTTTCCAATACTATGTGGGATTTGAGCATTACCAACAATTGTTCCCACCTAAAGAAAATCTACCACGTCAGATGCATTTGGATGACATTATTCACAAAAGGTACCAGTTTCTCAAAATGGTATATCACTTTGTAAATGACAAGCAATTTATAATGTAGAGCAAGTCAGATTCATCATGCTTGGTTTTAGTTAAAGCACTCCATTTTTCTATTATAGGCAATTAACTTTCAAGTTGTTAATTTTATTAATAACAATTAACAATGGTAGCACACTCCTTCCTTTCAATGTGTATTATTGTGCAGAGGGCTTATGCCTATACCACTAACAGGAATATTTACTCATGGTTAGATGCTAGTGCCAGTAATCGCAAACTCAAGGCCCTGTATAATGATATAACAGGAGATTAACCAATGATTTATTTGTGCAGTTATCAGATGAAATAGGACATAAGTAGTTGAGATTTTAACATCAAGCAATCCCAAGGAATTTCAGCTAAATGAGAAGCTTAAATGCCTACCTGCAAGCCATAAACCATAATTTGATTTCCTTCATGACGAACACCACTAACCAACACTGTATCAATAGTATTGGGAACAAGTGTTGGTAATGCTCAAATCCCACATAGTATTGGAAACACTATTGGGAATGGAAAATCGCAACGAAAATCGTAGACTATCGCAACGAATTTGGAAAATCGCAACGAAAATCGTAGACTATCGCAACGCGAAATGGAAAATCACAACGCAATTTTCAACTATCGCAACGCGAAATGGAAAATCGTAACGCGATTTTCAACTCTCGCAACGCGAAATGCAACGCGAATTTGCGATAGTGGAGATCGCAATACGAAATAGAGATCGCATTGCGATTTTGTTGGTCATTTTCGCAAATCCAAAAAAAGTTGGTCAAAATCGTATATTATCTAGGCTTTTTGGTCACTGAGGTTATTTTCTCATATAAATATATCTACTCAAATTTATAACATTAAAGAAAATAGCAAGACGACCATCATTTCGTACCTTTTGTAGCGCTTCTCAGCCTATGGATCATCCGCACGGTGGCTAGCTCATTTCAGCCATGGACATCATGCAACTCTCTGGGATGTCTAAGGAAATTTAATAAGATATTTAACAAAGTCGGTTAAGCGCTACTGGAAATGTTGTCATAATAATAATATTATAGGTGGAAAACATGAAGAAATATTAAAAAAAATTGGTAACTGGAAAACTTTGGTTATCGATAGGTATATATATATATATAAGTATCAATACATAAGTTCATGAGTAGACAAGAGGTTGGAACTTAAACAACCCGGTTGAGCGCAATCGGAAATGTTGAATTACACATAATATATTATATTTAGATATTGATACTTTTTTCGATTAATGTATACAAGTATCGATACATGAGAAGAAAACATGTTGGTGCTTAAACAAACCCGTGAAAATTTAACATTTGAGGTAGGTTAGGCCGGGAAAAAATATGAGATTGTAAGTATCGGTACTGATGTACAAGTATCGATACGTGTAATAACATATAAGAAACTTAAGAAAACTAGTATTGCTCGACCGGAAATCTTGATTTACACATAATATTATTATAGTTTGGTATCGATACCTTTTTTCAATACATTATAGTATATGTTTAAAAGTATTGTTACTTTAGTAATTTAAAAGAATTACAATAAAAGTGGCTCGAAAGTATCAATACCTTACACACATATATCAATACATGACAATATAATAGCTTGCAATTTGACAAAAACCGGTTGCAAATAGACAAAACCGATTGAAATGGACAAAACATGTAGAAATTGGACAAAATCGCATAGCGTGACCGATTAGAAATTGACAAAACCGGTTGAAATTTTATAATACCGGTTTTAATTTGACAAAATCGGTTAAGCGCTACCGGAATTGTTGATGTTAACATAATATGTTATAGTTTGGTATCGATACTTTTGTAAGTATATGTACAAAAGTATCGGTATTTTTGTAATTTAAAAGAATTGCAAAAAAGAAAAACGTCTCAAAAGTATCGATACCTTACACAAATGTATCAATACTTGGGGAATAGTATTGATTAAATATAATTAACATAACTTGTTAAAATATTTTGAAGGCATAACAGAGAATTTGAAGGGGCATACGTTTATGCGAAATAGAAGGCATTACATAAACGCTCGTATTTTCTGAAATTGTAGCATTTTAATTGTTGCGAAATAAAAGCAAGGTTTTTTTGAAATCGTAGTTTTTTGTTGTTGCGAAACGAAATCAAAATCGAATCAAAAGGTATGTTGTTGAAACCCTAGATTTTAGCATTGTAGTATTTATAAATAAGGGTTAGGGTTTGGTATTTTAAAAGTAAAAAAGGATTTGAGACCGATTATAGGTAGAAGTTGATATTCTAGGTGAAAAATAAAGATTGATACTTTTATAGAACATTATAGGTAGAAATTGATATTATATGTTGTATATGTTATAGGTACCGATACTTGTATTAGAAAATGATCCCATTCCTTTGAACGCAAGCGGTTACTATAGGATTAGTTATCGATACTTGTATATTGGATAAACTGTATGTAACTTATATTTGATTTAATTTAATGCTTGAATGTTCATAAACTGATATATTATGGATAAATAAAGTCAATTGATCTCTCAATTGTTCTTCGCGAATATGACTTTGAAATGAAACCGGAGAGTATCAAGACTGAAGAAAATTAAAAACAACCACTGGATAGATATATGTACTTCTAGTAAGTATCAATGTATCAATGTATTTGTGTAATTGTTGTTGAAATGGTAATTGGATTAAAGTATTTAAGAACTTGAAATTGATTACAAATTTCAAATCTTGGCAGTATGATTGAATGCCAAATGATGAAGGAAGCTGGTAATTACAATATTGGTTCGGTATGTAAACTGAATTTAGAATGAGTATTATTTAGCGTTAATTTATTGATTAAGAAATGTTTATGCTTAATTTCAGGTGAAACAAGAGGTGTATATTGTTGAAATATCGATACTAGTTATTAAAGTATTGATACACCTACTCCAAGTATCGACATTATTAATTTTGAAACATAAATTGCATAGTTTTTGTATCCATACTTACTCTAAAAGTATATATAATGTTTCGGCAGTAAACTATGTCCAACGATTGTCCTGAAAAAGTATCCATATATATATTGTATGTATCGTTAACTATACTTTTGATCTTTTTTCTTATGTTAACCGGTTTAGTTAAACTAGCTACGTAATAGGTGCTACCTATTACGTTAAACTAGCTATCAGATTGTTTAAATGTATAATATTAAAGTAAACGATAAAATATTTAAAACTTAACCGGTTAAAATAAAATAGGAGCTACCTATTACGTTAAACTACCTATCGATTTGTTTAAAGGTGTAATATTAATGTAAACAATAAAATATTTACAAATTAACCTGTTAAAAAAAAGATGTTGCTACCTATTACGTTAAACTACCTACCAATTTGTTTAAATGTATAATATTAATGTAAACGATAAACTATTTACAACTTAACCGGTTAAAATAAAATAGACGCTACTTATTACGTTAAGTTACCTACCGATTAAAATAAAATATGTGCTACCTAATATGTTGATAATATTAATAAAAAAATTAAGTAATTAACCTATTTTATTATCGTCGGATTTCTAAGGGCCCATCAACTTAAACTTTGGTAACATTTTAGGCGTTACCTAATATGTTAATAATATTAATAACAAAATAAGTAATTAATCTATTTTGTTATTGTCGGATTTGTAAAGTTCCATCAGCTTAAAATTTGATAACATTTTAGGCACTACCTAATATATTGATAATATTAATAACAAATTAAGTAATTAACCTATTTTGTTATCGTCGGATTTCTAAGGCCCCATCAGCTTTAAACAGGTGCAACCTATTACATTAAATAGGCGCTACCTGTTATATTATTAAAGTTGATAATATTTCCAGTAATTAACCTAAATTATTAAAGTCAATATTTTTTAGCCCATTTTACATATATTGATAACATTTCCGGTTATTACCATTATTATTATCAACACAAATAACATTTCTGGTGAAAACATATAACATTTTCGGTATGACTTTTAATTAGTCACCTATTTAACCAGCCATACATTTTTCTAACTGTATTTTAACCGCATCACATCATAATCTTCCCAACTCTCGGTTCCTGACGATGGGGTTTCCGGAACCCTCCATTGGGTTATTATTACCTTTTCTTTTATGATTCAACTTTTAAAAATATATTTTTTAAATGAATCTATATTTGTTATCCGAAGCTGATCTTTGTTGATTAATTTGTTTTTAAATATTTTTTTAATAGTACGAAATAATAAGATGATTAAAAGTTAGTATTAATTTATATTTTTTTAGTTATTGACAATACACACATGTCTTACAGATGTAACTGTTTAAATTTAAAATTTATTGAGATAATAATATTTTTTAACCACTAAAATTATTATACGAGTTCTTTTAAATACAAATTTATCATTATGTTTGGAAAAATATTAAAACTAAAAATATATATATACCATGAACTTTATTGACCACCAACCACTACGAGAGTATTAAAATTAACATTAACCTCTATTAAATATTAAAGCAAAATCTAATCCATTATTTTATATTGATTACTATCTAGTACATCGATCGTTATTATATAAATGTATGGAATTCATCTATAGGGTATATAGATCATGTTTATGAACAATGATGATTAAATTTATATTGAATAATAATAAATGAAAAATAGTAAATGAGATCTTGACATGAACTACAGTAAAAAAAATAGTTAATTACTCTAAATAATATAAACACTAAAAGACTGCAGCTTAAAAGGGTTTCACTGTAAAAAAAATTAAAAGTCAAATAAAGAAGTTAAAGACAGATTTGTTATTAGGGTAAATTACAAATGTACGCACTAAATTTTACTCTCTCGCCTATTTAAGAGTTAATGATAGATTTATAATGCATTAAAATAATATAAAATATAATGGATTAGAAATTAGAGAATTTTTTTAACAAAACAAACTTAATTATCATTTATAATCATGATTTATACATTATTCTTTGATTTGAAGATTTGAAAAGATCTTAATCTAAACACTTTATATAACATTATAAAAATTAGTTCAATGACGTGATCAAAATAATTAATTTATAAATTAATTCATATCGATTTTAAAATTTATATACGATTAAAATAAAAAAAATTAAATCATTACTTTCGGTTAATTTTATATATTTAAAGATTATCAAGCATTTTTCTTACAATTTTTCTTATTTTTAATGATATATTTTGAAACATATTATTCATATATCCACAAATCAATTTAATGTTAGTACTTATTTTAAACGAGATTTTTTTTTTCCTTTTTAACTTTTAATAAACATAAAAAGATATTAGTCTTGAAATTGACTACACAGTCGACGGTTCTGAATAGGTCCAAGCCTGGAATTCTTGGAATTAAACTCTATATATCTTTTCTTTCCTTTAATAAACCAAATCTTGAGGACATTGACCCTAAGTTTGAAAACCTCACTGGAAACTTCTTCATTTAAGGTTAGTTTTGACATAAATCAAGATTGGTTTGAAATTGCTGAATTAGAAATCTGGATTTAATTAGAGGTTTATTTATAAAATTTAAATTATGATGTTATAATTTTAAAAAATGATATACACTATTTTGTTTACTTGATGTTAATATTATTTTATAAAAATATAACTTTTTTTATATTTTTATATAGAAAATAAAAAATGAATGTCAATTCTTGAACGTGGCTCCGCCCGTGGGTTCATGTTAGGATTTTATCTGTAAATAAATAAACTGGTTACTGCTTGGAAGAATGACTATTTTTGGTCCCCATAATTTCACCACATAGTAATTTTAATCTTTAAATTTTTATTGTATTCATTTTGGTCATTAACTGTTTTTTTATAGATATGTGGTAAATACAATGTAGCATATGTTCAAATACTTTCAACCATGTGACAACGAACGCTCATACCCTTGACATATGCGGTGCTCGAACTCATGACCTCAAAAAATAACAACAAATCCTTTAATTACCGAGATTATTTGATTCGTAGTCATTAATTTTTTACTTGTTATAAATGAACCCAATTGTAATATAATACTAGTAATGATGCTTTTAAACTGAAGAAGATTAACTGGCGTTAATATTTCAATAAGAAAAAATAACATTAATATTTAATCACGTTTAAATTAATTTAATAAAAAAGTAAAAGTTTGAAGTTAAAAAATGACAAAAAGGTTAAAAAACTGAAATGACTAAACGGATAGAGTATTCGAAAGTAGTGGCAGATCCATCCTTCCTTAGTCAAGTAAGAATATATTAGTTGTTTATTTTATTAATCGTGTTCATCTTCCACTCATCCTATACAAAATTACATATGGGATTATGTACAAGGAAAATGACAAATCTTCCAGGTCAAGAACGTCCCTTCCCCCCATGGGTTTATGCCTATTCTCCCAGTTCAATACAATAGCATATTCTTATTCTAAATAAACGAGTTTAATTTACATGGAAAATAATTTTTTAAAAAAAATCTTAATACGAACTTGTTGGATTTAATTAGATTGGATAAAATAAATTTCCAAAAACAGACATGGTTGCACACTTTACACTCTCCCTTTTTCTCTTGAAATTAGTTTCTGGGACAGAAGCGAAACCATCACATGAGAAAAGCATGACATGGAAAGCGTAACGGGCAGTTCCAATTATGCGACCCTACAAACCTGCCAATTTTCTTGCCTTTTGCCCGCTTGCGGTGGTCCCTACCTCCCATCCCACCACGTGTCATCACTCCCTTTCAATCTCTCTTGACACGTCATCGATCACCGTTGTCCACTTGGCTCCTTAGGAACCTTAACAACCTGCCACTCCCCTCCCCCTTATGACATGAAGTCATCAACTTATAGCTTTAACTTCTCCATTTATATTCATCTTCCTTTAAGCTTTCTTCTACCTCCATTTGTTTCATGAAAAAACTAGTTTCTGAACCACAGGTGATAAGCAAATAAATGGAGAGTACAGATTCATTGTCGGTTTTGCCACACCCGCAGCTCCCACCAGGGTTCCGATTCCACCCGACCGACGAAGAGCTAGTGGTTCACTACCTTAAAAAGAAGGCTGCATCTGCTCCTCTGCCTGTTACAATCATAGCCGAAGTTGATCTTTATAAGTTTGATCCATGGGAGCTGCCAAGTATACATACGTACACAAAAATTTATATTTGACCATGTTTTCATTGATCAACTAAACCGTGAAATTAATTTGTAGGTAAGGCAACTTTTGGAGAGCAAGAGTGGTATTTTTTCAGTCCTCGAGACAGGAAATATCCGAATGGAGCAAGGCCTAATAGAGCTGCAACTTCTGGTTATTGGAAAGCCACTGGGACCGATAAGCCGATTGTAACTTCGAATGGAAACCAGAAGGTTGGTGTTAAAAAAGCTCTAGTGTTCTATGGAGGTAAGCCTCCCAAAGGGATCAAAACCAATTGGATCATGCATGAATATCGCCTCATCGACAATATTATCTCTACTTCAAAGCCTCTAATTGCTGATGTACCCAACAGGAAAGCTTCTTTACGGGTATGTGTTATAGTCCCCCGTAAAACTAGAAGATTCGTATCCATATCATCTTACTAAAATCATTGTATTTCAGCTCGATGATTGGGTTTTATGCCGGATTTACAAGAAGAATAATGTCCAACGACCGATGGAAAGGGACAAAGACTACACTATGGAGGGAATGGGCATGCGTGCCACACTGACAACTCCTAACAATCAAAATCCAAGCGCTCTTACATCCAAAGCTACGAGTTACGGTTCGTTGCTGCAACATGAAGATAATTTCTTTGAAGGGATATTATCAGATCAGGGGATGCGAAGCAGTTCCAATATTTCACAACCAGCAGTACCGTCAAACTCAAAGCAAAATTTCCCCATGGCGTTTACCGTTAAACGTACACTTCCACCACAGTACTGGAATGAACCGGATTCAACAGGTTCAGAATCAGGGAAAAGATTACAGCAAGATGATCTAAATGGTAATAGCAGAGCTGGGAATATTGATGATACCAATTCGTTCGTTTCTCTGCTGAACCAGCTACCTCAAAACACTCCGTTTTACCCGGGCACTATAGTTGAATCAATTGGCGATGGGGTTTCCCTGCAACAGTTTATACTTCCTAGTTCCTAGCATGATTAGAAGTAGATTTACTTATAATTAATTACTGTGTGAAATGAGGTGTGCGAAAATGTATTATTTTGATATAGGCATTATATATAATAGAGAGAAAAATTAATACTTTCATCGACCGCTTAGTATCATCTGAAAATTTTGACGCTAAGCCAAGTGATTAAAAAATTTAGGGTAAATTACACTTAAGGTCACTTTTATTTTTTTGTCTATATTTTTTTTATTATTTTTTTTTAAAATTATGTTTCGATCTCTTTTATTATTAATTTATTATGTTTTGAACTGTTAATGAGAAAATATAAATTTGTTTTCACCCATTTATGTACGCTTTTTAGCACAAGAAAAGGAAACAAAAAATAAACAAAATCAAAATTCCAAATAATCATATAAATATGCGCTACTTGAAATGAATTATACTATTAAATGAAAAATATTATAATTTAAAAAAAATTATATAGAGAACATTGAAAAATTCGAATTCAAACTCTTACAAGAAAATAATCAACTTAAATGATTGTAGGGTAGATTAGCTATTTGCTTTCTTACATTAATCATATAATTTTGCCCAATTTGTAATCCTCGTCTTCCTATTTTAATTCATCGTCACTTATAGACATGCATAGAAGCCGGATTTCAATCAGATTTGGATCGGTTTTTATCCGATTCGGTTTTTTTTCATAGACAAAAAACCGGTTTATAAAATAACTGGTTCAAATTCTAACCGGTTTGGAGGGCCGGATATCCTAACCGGTGTAACCGGTTTCGGTTTGAAAAAAACCGATTTTTTAAAAAACCGGTTATAAAAAACCGATTATAATATTATTAAAATTACATCGTCATCAATTGCAACAAAGTTTACGCTAAGTGAAATACTTAAATACTTCCAAGTTCGATAAATTTAAATACTTAAAAACTTCCAAGTTCGATAAATTCAAATACTTAAAAACTTCCAAGTTCGATAATTGAAACAAAGTTTACGATAATTGAAATAAAGTTTAAAAATAAACTACACTGCCATCTCTTCTTCATCATCTTCGTCTTCTTCGTTTGGAGGGGGTATTCCAAGTTCGACTTCTTCAATGTGTAAGTTTGCTTCCAAATCGGCATCAATTGCATCTTCTAGGGTGGTGATATGTTACTTCCGAGCCGCTCCATCCAAATAATCCTTCAAACAAATGCATATTTCCACCGACTCGGGACTTAGTCTTGATCTCCGTTGCGATATAAGCCTGCCACTAACAGAAAAGCGGATTCCGAAGCTACCGTAGAAGCTTGGACGGTTAGTAAATCACGGGCCATGGCAGCTAGAATCGGAAATTATGCTTCCTTTTCTTTCCACCAAACCAAAATATCCAAACTTTCAAACTCTTCAAATGTCATTTTTTATAGAAAATCGCATGACATGTAATTTTTCAACTCGCTACTTGGGGTGGTAGTACGTGATCGTTTGGATTGAGAATTTACAAGTGTTAAAAAGATTCAAATTTATGTTACTTGGACGTCTACTAGATGATTCTGCATTCATTCTCATTTGATCGTGTATTACACTACTTGATCCGTATTTAGTTAAATAAATTTTAAACATGTCTCGAAAACATTTGTTAAAATAATTTATTTGGTTTTGGACAAAGTTGGGTTCATCATCGGTTAGATTAAAAGCAAACGCAATTTGTTCAATTAGTGTTTCAACCCCGCCAACATTTAACGTTGGGTTTAAAGCGGCGGCACAAGTAAAAATAGAGGGAATCTCCTTAAAATATTTTAAAAGTTTTTCCTTCATTGCAAAGCCAATTTCTTGAAAAACTTCGGTTTCAAATTCAAAGTCATTTAGTCGGGTAGCCAACAAAAATATTTAATTAAGAACCAACGGGCTAGTAGGGTAATAAACACCGGATAAAAAAGTTGTTGTATTTTTAAAAACCCCAAGCAAATCGGTTATTTTGGCTATAGTTTCCCAACTCGAATCCGGATAAATGTTTGGGACATGGCCCCTCTCGAAAAGCCGATCGTGAAATGTTTGCAATGTTTCCCTTTGCCTTAAGGCGGTATGCATCATCATCCAAGTTGAGTTCCAACGAGTTGGACAATCCAAATTAGGACCCAAAGCTTTTTTATTAACCGACTTACAAAATCGTTTATAATCATTTAGTCTTTTGTTGTTGTTACAAAAAACCGATTTTATCATTGTTTTAAATTCTAATCTAATCGGCTCAATAACCTCCAAACTGGCTTGCACGGATAAATTAATTATGTGTGCAACGCAACGGTATGAAAAAACGCACCGTCTAAAATCGGTGAAAGTAATATTTTCAATCTTGGAACCGCGTTTGTATTATTCGATGCATTATCAAAGGATATAGAAAAAACTTTATTTTCTAATTTATAAAGACAAATTACCCTTTTTAAAAGTGTAAATAAATTAGCACCGGTATGCGGCTCACCGAATAATTCAAATGCGATTGTTTTTTCATCATTTGCCAATTATCTTGACCTAACCAATGTTCCGTAACAGCTAAAAAAAGAATTTCCGGTATTATGAGGGAAACTCCAAACGTCACATGTAAGCGACACACCATAACGGTGTTCTTGGAATCCTAAAATCATTTTTTCCCTCGCCGTACGCCACATTTTTATAGCATATCTTCTAAGGGTAGTACGACTTACTTGAGTATAACGTGGTTGCATTAGTTGTTGAATTGTTGCCGTGAAATCTTCATCATCAAAGTGGTCGAACGGCAATGCTTTTGTAATCACGAACTTTGTAAACGCTTCTCGTAATTTTTCGTTGTCGTAAACAAAAACACCACCTTGCGGTGTAAGATTCAATTGACTTGAATCCGATCTTGAGCGAAATGCCTTGCATGATTTTGTCAAATGGTTCTTCAACGTTGTGTTTTCTTCCGGTGCAAGCAACTTTAGACAAAGTTTACAACACGCCCTCCTTGAGCCATTTGACATCTCACATAAATCGTAGTGATTCTAAATATCTTTGTTTCGAGTGTGTTCGATCACTCTCACGACTTCAAGGTTTCCCCCGACGGAAGATTCAGCTGTGTTACTCATGATGAACAAAAAATTACAAAAATAAGATTTGAGAGATGTTTAGGTGTTGTGTAATAAGATTTGAGAAAGTTGTAATCAATCAAATACATCCCCAACCTATTTATACATGTTTAGGGTGGTAAAATGGTAATTTTTTAAGAAAAAACGGTCAAAAACGGTCACAAACCCCCCCAACGACTATATTAACGGCTAGTTTTTTAAACCCAGACCGGTTTTTTTCAAACCGGTTTTTTATCCGGTAAAAAAATCGGTCTAGGTTTTTTTCTCCAAACCGATTAAAATAACCGGTTAAAAAAATCCGATCCGGTTAAAAAAAATAGTTTTTCCCAAATCCGATTTCGGATATTTTTTACACAATCATATATTCAGATTTTTTGTGCACATCTAGTCACTTATCAGCATGTTCCAAGAAGGCGTTTACAATGGCTAATTGCTGTGAACTATTCTACAATTTCAGATAAAGAAATAGAGGTAATAGAGACAGAAACATAAGTAGAAGAAATAATAGGAGTATTTTGATAACAATTTTCTACATCCCAATGTAATTGGCTCCTTAACACGTGCTCTCTTGCACAACTGTAATAGTTTTAATTATTGGCTTGGTTGCTCCTTTGATCCCTTGTTCATAACTCTAATCTTCTGATATAGATATACAGAGCTGCACAAGCAACAACAATGTTTCTCCGCACTACAAAGGAATATTGCGCCATCCTCTTCAAAATTGGAGAAAAGCTTTTAAAGAGCCAGAACACCGTCCAATAACATTTCTTAATTTGACATGTGCGAGCAACAATACGAAAATCTTCGGATTCCCAGGGAATGGCCGTATGTCTACGGCAATGAGATGAGATGTGGGCTTCCAGTCCACAACGATCTTTGTCTTCCTTGCTCACAAGTAGAGGTGCACAAAAAATCCGAATATATGATTTTGTGCAAAAAATATGCGAAATCGGATTTGGGAAAAACTTGTTTTTTTTAAACCGGATCGGATATTTTAAAACCGAATAGTATAACCGGTTTGGGAAAAAATTGGACGACCGGATTTTTTACCAAATTAAAAACCGGTTTGAAAAAAACCAAATAAAAAACTGGTTTTTTATCCCGAAAAAAATCCGGTCTGGGTTTAAAAAATTGGATGACCGGATTTTTTACCGGATTAAAAACCGGTTTTTCTAAAAAAATCGATTTTTTTCAAACCGAAATCGGTTACATCATCCGGCCCTCTAAACCGGTTATGATCCGAACCGATTTTTTTATAAACCGATTTTTTAGCTTAGTGAAAAAACCGGATCAGTTTTTATCCGATCCGGATCGGATTTAAATCCGGCTATGTACATCTCTACTCACAAGTGCTCGTAAACTTCAATGCTATGGGAGATTTCATGGCCGGAAATGTTATGACCCGAATGTTCATTTAGTTTGCAATGAGATCCCAACTTTGAAGTGTCGTCTTTATGGAGAACCACTTGGGGTTCCCTGTTGCTTCATTTTGCTGATCCGAATGGAAGTTTCAAGGAGCAGTTTGGTATTATTATAGGAAACAAGTTAAGACCCAGATAGCAACCCACCTCAAGTGTGTCACTTTAATCTCAAAATTCTTGCTCAGTTTGCCAATTGTACCACATGTAGAAAAAATTATAATTGTAGTAAACAAGAGAAGTTCAAAATACAGAGGAAAGCCGAGATGGGTTACAGTTGAGGGTAACCGAGTACATGCCAATTATGGATGAAAAACAAGATCAAGAAATACGAATATCATTCTATTCATCCGCTCCGATAGGTGCCACAAAAGTTGATGAATATAAACTACAAAGGAAATAGTATTACGGTCAAAATATCCAATGAAGCTACAAACTTTCTATTTTGTAAAAAAGAAAAAAAGAAAAAAGATTGACCTAAAAGAATCACCCAAAAAGAAATTCTTAACTACAGGTATGAAAGATTAAAACCATGAATCGCAAAGGAAAAAATGAACTTTACTTTTTTGACCGAGTATATCGTGAGGATTCTTTCAGGGCTATTCAGAGTGTCGGAAGAGTTTTAACTCTTCCAGGTCAGGTCCAAAAGAAGCTATAAAATGGTAATTGGGTTAGCGAAATGGAGTATGGTAGACTGGGAAGATGGGTCAGTAAATGGTTCAAAACGAAGAAGCTGGGGATCATTCAATCTTTCCATTCCCCACAAACACGGATTCGATGATATTGGGAGCAAATCTAACACTTCCTATTTAGGAAGGCAAATTACCACTGCTGTTTTAAAGGTAATAAGATGTCATGCCATGAACAAGTATTCCAAGTCTTCTACTGTGAGGCCAGTCTGACGAACACCAGTTTCATCTTCCCCAAATGCTGATGCAACCATCTCTCTCTTCTTATGCTGTTAATTTACAAACATAAAACATTAATTAAAAAAATAAAGAGAACCAAACATTTCTTTGCTTTTTCCAGGGGAATATAAACAAGCACAAATTAATATTCAACAGGCTTGGACCATATTCCGGCTAGGGCTTTGAAGAGAAAGCACCTGCCCATAGACCTGAGCTTATAAGACAAGTTTAAAACAGATATGAATTTAGTTTTGAATTATCAATTACAATAATTTTTAACACTGATTGTCAATTAGTCAGACCAGTTACAGTGCACGATGCATCAAGTTGTTCAGGGCAGCTACCAGCCATATAAATCAGTACATATGATCTTCACCTAGATAAAAGTTATTAACCATGAAAGACAATATAGATGGGAGGAAAGCTCACCTGAAGAGCTAAAATACGATCTTCAACTGTATCTTTCACAGTTAATCGTAAGACAGTTACAGGGCGAGTCTGTCCAATTCGATGTGCTCTATCAATTGCCTGGTCCTCAGTTGTAGGGTTCCACCAAAGATCCAGCAGAAGAACATGGCAAGCTGCAACCATGTTCAGCCCAAGGCTAGCAGCTTTCAAGGACATAATCATAACAGATACCTACAGACAAAGGAATTAATTTCACAAGTCAATAAGCAGAATCATAAACACCCTAAATCTCAAACTACCTCATGATAGCATAAAAAATAATAGAGGTCAAAGGAATAGATGGTATGAAAACCTCTGGTAGGGTGTTGAAATCTTTCACTGCTTTGTCTCTAGCAGCGACTGACATAGTTCCATCAAGTCTTCTATATTGGATGGAAGAACTTTTAAGACAGGCTTCAAATAAATCCAACATCCTTGTCCATTGGGAAAATACTATGGCTTTCTCTCCACATAACTTAGAGGAATCATTTAAACTTTCACCTGTAACCAGACTTGTTTCATCAGGAAAACCACTTGGTGAATCCCCAGAAGGCAGACTGGATGGACCTTCTGGACAGAAACTAGCCTTTAGTCCATCATCTCGAGGCTTAGCTACTTTCTTCAGGACATCAAGGGCAGCCTTAATTTTGGAAGAACCGTACAAACTATCCTCAGAACAAGGCCCAAATACCTCAACTTTAGAACTAGAAAAATCAAGGGAACTATCCTGACCAGGCTGCTCAGAGAGAGAACTGTTTAGAGTGGCATTTGAAAATATAGAAGATGCACTGAGTCGAGCTTTGCAATTTCTGGTGGGACACTGGTAGTCATCACCAGTAAGATGTTCAGAGATACATTGGTTGCAGAAAACATGACCACATACAGCAACAACAGCATCTTCTGATGGATCCTAGAGAACATAAAAGCACAAATGCTAAAACAGAAAATTAAGACTTAAAAATGTCAAGGATAATTAAAGGAATAAATAACCACAAAAAATAATTTTTCCAAATGATGCAACTGACCATAGCTGTTACAAACATACATATACAGATAAGGCTGTAATCGCGTTATGAAAGAGCATGCAAAATTTTCAGGAATATGCATGACCATATAGAGATCGAGGGAAATGAATCTAATGGGGGGAAATTGTCAAAGTCGTTCAGTATTAACCGTAACTATTATATACCCAATTACACTATCAGCAAAAATAACTACTAAGATAGGCTTGAGAAGGAAGATCAAGATTAGAACCCTTTTTCAGATGAATAAAGACACACATGGCTAGCATAAATTTTTTTTCCATTTATTCTGGGGTCATCCAAGAAATTTTCCTCATTAATGAGCCCTACAGCGCAAAAACTCCCTTCCTAACAGAACAATATGGTCCTTCTGCATATCCCAAGCTAAAGCATCTAGGCATGCACAAACAGGTGTTTTATCTAAGCACATTCAGTAACCATTATTTGATCATTCAAATCCATTAAAAAGCATATGAAGACAGAAGCCTACATAGGCAAGTGTAAATCATCAGAAGCAGTATAAAGAGATTCAATTTTTGAAGTGTATTGAAACCAACAAAAAAAAAGCTGAAACAACCACATACATTGCAGATGCCACACAACGACAAAGAAGACAAACAACTCAGAAGAAATGTCAACTTCTCCCGAGGAAGTTTCTTCGCAGTCTCGATTGACAATTTCCTTGAAGAGTTTGAGTCAAAACCCCTGACCAGAAGAGGATGATCACAGGCTTGGCGAAGGCGCAAAAGCATCAACAAAATATTCACATAATTTTGTTTGACAGTTCCTGCAGCTGCATACTCCTGAAAAATAATTCAAAATTAGCAGAGAAAAATAGAAGTTCCGTAAAAAAATAACATGAACACAAACTATTACTGGTTTAGTACCATTATGTGTATACTGTAAAGCTGCAAGAAATGTAAAAGATCTGCGGTGAATCTATTAAATTATGTTAAAACCATACTTTAAACTGAGCGCGTGAATCACTCTCCAATCTGGAGTAGAAATCACGTTCCTCCTTTGTGAATTCCACCTTTTTCAATTCTACCACTTTAGGTGGCAAGTTAATAATCGGCTTCCCATCAAGAAGAGTACCTGCACAAAGAAAAGAGAGGTGATCATAAGAGACTGCGCTTAGTTGCACGCAAATTACATCCTGAAAGAAATTCTACACCCAGTAATATATAAATAGGACTGGGAAGATTACAGAAGCACCAAATTTCGCTGAAATGCCAACTAAACCCAATTAAAAATTACACGTTTGGTACCTTTGGTGCGACGTAACATTATTGTCTGCAAGATAGCTTGCAATTTTGTATACCCTTTTGCTGGACTTTTAGAAATTGGGATCTTTATGGAAGAACAGAATGACTTGTAAACAGCATAAGGTTCATATCTCAGAAATCTAAAGTAGCTATAAAGGTCATCAATGGCATTTTGAATTGGAGTACCAGACAAGCACCATCTACGTTTAGCACGTAGGCCCCAACAGGCCCTAGCAACTTGAGTTCTATGGTTTTTTATGCTTTGGGCCTCATCCAGGACAATTCTAAACCATCCAACTTTAGCAAGAGGTCTAGAAACAGAATCAAGAAGCAATTCATCCACTCCCTTCTTATAATTCACTCCTTTTTTATTAGAACTAGATGGGGATTTTCTTTTCCTGCTTGGTGGAAAATCCATAGATGATGATGCATGGTCACTTTCCCACTTCCCTTTCTCATCATCTTCTCCATGAACAGGAGGCTGCTTTGGGACCTCCATGCTAACAATAGAATATGTAGTGAGGACAACATCATACGTTGCTAACTCAAAAGGATCCTTTGTTCTGTTGCTTCCATGGTATACTAGAACAGAGAGATGAGCTTTGCTCGTCACCTTATTATGCAACTCCTCTGCCCATTGTCGCAATACACTTGTGGGACATACAATGAGAGTTCCAGCAGCTGGCCTTCCCTTTGCTTGCGCTGATGGAAAAGATCTTTTCTTCGAAGCACCATTTGACATGACTTGACTGCTGTCAGATTCTTGCTTCATCCCTTCATCATCACCCACAACATCACCACCATCACCATCATCATCATCCAAATTTAACGTTTCCATCTCAACCTTTTTTATATCTTGAGAAGATGCTCTCGAAGATGGAGGCCTTTCATTAAGAATAAGTGCAATTGTTGATACAGTTTTTCCTAATCCCTGCAGTATAGACACATAAACATAATTCATTAATGGTGTAATTAATGTAAGACAACCTCAGAATGTGGCAACTGACCTGATCATCTGCAAGAATTCCTCCCATACAACATGAGTCAGCTTTCTCCTTCTGGGTCATCCATGACAAAGCGATTCTCTGGCCATGGAATAATATTAGAAAGGAATTGGAAAGAAACATTCCCGCTCAAAAATGAACATGCAAGAGAACCTTGGTACTCAATATGCAAACATAAATAAATGAAAAAGGAAAATGGACAAAGCAATTTTCAACTTCAAAATCATCGGTTACATCTCAATACATGGCTTATTAACTTAAATGAACTACAAAAGAATAACATAATCTCTTTGTATAAGTTTGATCTTGACTGCATCCACAGTTTAAAAGGAAATATCCAACTTTTCTTTAGAAAGAGCCGAAGACTCATAAATTGCATTGCACCATTCAAAGCAATCACCATATATAGCCAGTTCCACCTTAACTAAAATATCATTTCCCACTCTCTCAAATAAAACTTCATAGAACCTCAACATTCACAAACAGAAATACAACAAAAAGAGTACAACGTGAAAATTTTCAAACCTGATGCCGTAGAAGAGGTACTGTCAAAACGCCATCTGGTGGACTAGCTTCAGACTTCGGCTGAGAAAGACCCTGCAATGCATACACCGGTCATAATAACCAGGTCAATAAATAATCATAATCTTACATATAAGATTTATTCCAACAGCAATGTAGCACCAATTTCCTTCATAACAAGGGCAATATCAAAGGAGCGTATACATGCATCTTGCGAAACACTTTCACCTGGAAATAGTATACTCTAAAACCCATTATTACACAACCAAATCAACCTAGATAGTATTTCGCACGAATCTAAACTCTGAATTATTTTGCTGAAACCTTTCTGTTGCAACATATGACAATTTATACAGCAGAGTTTTTCCAAGTCAAAGCTCTTCAAGCCAAAGGCAATGCCATAGGGCTATTTGAAAGACCGGGAAACAGAGAGAGTTTAATTAAAGAAGCCAAACCTAGGAAAGTTTTCAAAATAACCTTTTTCAGACAAAATCCTCCATAAGAAAGTGCCAAAACAGTTCATTCAAAGCCTCATCACAATCTTCTTTTACCTAGCCTTAACTTTCCTGTGCTCTTCTTAAGTGTTATTTTGCCTTCAATCAAAGCACACCATATCGGAGAGAACATTACAATGTTTCCAACATTCAGAGTTGCATCAAAAAGATGGGTAAATCATTACAGGCACACTTATTTATCCACAAAACAAGGATTATAATTGACTTTTTTTGTGGTAAGAGACATTAAAATAAACTATCAACTTTTAGAAATAGAGTTCTTTTAAAGAGATTAGTGCACTATGAGGGACAAAATTTCATTCAACCACTCCCTAAAGTTATATATATTCATGACAAAATAAACATGGATTAAAAGGGAATGGAAGATTATTTCTTTCTAGCCACTTACACCAGAGGTGCACTCTAATGCAAAAAATCCCCTGGAATTCATCCAAATTCTATTAACCCAACAGACATGGGATGCTGAAATTTTTCCATGATATCAATTTTCAATTTAAATATGTTCTCTATCTATATAACTTAAAGGTTCTCAAGTTCAAACATCATTCTAAATTTTAAAGAAATCTAAGATGAATACGTGAGCAATAATTACAATCTATAAGTGCTAAAAGCAAAAAACAATGCAAACTCAAATAAATAGCACAACCTGCAATGCAACCCGAAAAATTTGCCGCTCATCATTTCCCTTGAACCTGATACCCCCCATTCCAGAGTAATGATGCGGATTACTAAATGCAGAATTTGGCAAACTAGGAGTCTTCTTTACAAGCACCATAGACTGATTTGAGCGGGCAGGCTGACTAATGTCTTCAAGAATACATATATCAGGGTCACCATCAACATGAGATCTGCAGTCTGAAGAATTGCTATGAATAGATTCAGGACTAACTTTTGAAAGATCGATACTCCTGGAAGGCATCAATGTGCTCTGTTTTTCATCCTCAGAACAACCAAAATGCACCATGGATGAAATAATTGGATGAGAGCTAGGAAAATATTGCTCCGAATATCCACCTCCAAGGGAAGTTTGACTACTAACAGTTAGATTTATATCTTGATGATAATGATGAACATCCCTGCCATTAACCACAAATAGCTGGTTTGACATAGAAGGTGAAACATCAGACAAGAACTGCTTAGAGTATTCATCAAGTGAATTGACCCTGTTAATAGACTTTCTCCATCCAGCAGACTGGCAGAAAATGTTGCCAGGTGTAACCAATTTATCATGTTCATTGTTTATGCAAACAGCAAAGCGATCAAATGGTTGCACTGATCCTTTGTCATCAGAATGTCCATCATTAGTAGTATATGACAACTTTTTAAATGCTGGTAAAATATGTCCATTCCCTTTTACTTCAAAATGATGTTTCTTTACATCTGATAAATCAGTCATTGAGAGTTGTGACACAGACCTATTATCCATCCTTCCCTGATCATGAAGAATCATCCTACTACTAGAACATGCACTCTCGGTTGGATATTCAATTGCTTCACCCTCCTTCCTTTCTTTAAACATAAAACTTGGGGAATTATACAAGTATTGCATTGGGGAATCAGTAAAACATCCATCATCTCCATTCATGCAATTAGGTAAAACTGAAGAAATATCACAAACACCACTAACAATATCAGACCCGTGACAGAAGGTAGACTCATTAGAAATGATATTATGTGAAGTTTTATTAGCGCCAACAGAGGAATACTCCATAGGGATAGCTACCTCATTTTCAGGAGCTTCTGGGGTTTCCAAGGTATTAGTTAGAATATCACCACATTGATCAAATACTAAGTTTATATTCTCAACAGCAGGGCCGAGCAAAGAATCTGCAATATTCAGTAATACTGAGTCAGCATTTCCACTAAATATTTTCAGCACATTCAAGCAAACCCTAACATACTGAGAATCATTGTTGAGGTTTATTAGGGAATACCTAACATACTTTTTTTGTCGAACTCAGCTGCAGTATCTTTGGATTCTGTACCATTTCTGTTATCCACAAGATCAAAATTTAAATTATCTCCACAATCTAACACGTGGTTGTCATCTATCTCCACAAAACTAGATGCTGTACTACAGCTAGGCATCTCAGGCAGAGACATGCCAACCCTCTCTGTATAGGGTGTCACTTGAGCAATTGAAAACCAGTCTTCAAAACTTGCGGAGGATGCCTGGACCATAGAACAATCATGGGCATGGGCTTCCAATTTCCCATGATAATCAAATAAACCATCTACAGACCCTGACCTAGCACCTGAAGTCTCGGAAGAATACCCTACAAGATCTCCAAAAGCAAACCCCAATGTAAGCGATTGCATCCAAAAAAAATTAAGAAAAAAATCATTATGAAATATATGTAAACAAATGTTTGCGGATGAAAATTTTACCACTCTGAAACTGGTTGGATTCAAAGGCTAAGCCCCCTTGAGTTCTAAATGGTGGGTCTTCTGGCTTGCTCTGCAATTTGGAAAAGATAAGTTGAAATACTAAGGAATGGAAAAGAAAACAATACTAACAAGGCAATACATATAAAATATATAAGAAAACGTTCACGAAAATCAGCTCAAACTAGCATAAGCTTAAGACTAAAAGAACGGCAAATCCAGTTGCAATTACAGTAACTTAAATGCCACTGTTTTAAACTTCAGGATCAAGAATTCACAAGACAACTTCCATGGTAAATAAAATGAATTCCATTCGATCTCAATCTAGCTATAAAAATCAACATCCTCATAAAGACGGCTAAAATTAAGCTGCCACCAACTCGTTGCTTATAACAAAAGATATGAAGGTAAGTCAATTTGCTAGGGTTCCGATACAGAATTACGCGATTTATGCAACAAACTCCGTGAAAACAATTGCACACTTGAGAGTAGAAGTCCACCAGAATCTCCACGTTTGAAACCCTAAAAATGCCACTGAAATTAACCACGACAAAACAACTACCTGCAAAGAACCAGAATTCTCTTCAAGGATGCGATTGATGTCATCGAGATCTATGCTTAGACCATCAAACTCGAAATCGGCTGAGGGATCCCCACTTGTCAAGTAATCGGGGCTATCATTATACCTATTCCCCTCCCCCATCATCAACATCAGACAAAAGGGAACAAAAAACTAAAAACCTCAAATTGCTCTGCGCAATCCTACCCAAAAGCCCCCGTAAAGCCCGGTCAATTCACCGGAAATAACAAAGTCATGGATCTGAATCGAATCACTCAAACGAAGAAAACAGACAGAAATTCATAAGAAAATCGGCGTCGCGGTTTCAAATCGAATACAATTTTCTTTTCTTTCTTTCTTTTGTGCTGTGGAAAACCAAAAAGAGAGAAACAAAAATGAGAAGAGAGTCGTGAAGAATGTGGTAACCCTTTGGCCTTTCGGTGTTAAAAACTTTAAATGGGGATTGGTTTTGTAAATTGACTTTTCGGCATATGAATTCCCATTTTTAATTAAGAAAAAATAATGATTTGTTAATGTTTTTAAAAATGTAGTCAGTCCCTTCGGTTGAATGAGCCGGGAGGGAAAATGAAGGACTTGCCGATTCTACTTTACGCCGTCTTGTAGTTTTCACATTCGTTTTTCTTGGGAGTATTTCGGATTGGCTTTTTTCTACTTTAATAGAATAGGACGGTGGCCGAGTTCAGTGAGTCGGTGCAAATAACACACGAGTTCAGTGAACTTTCTTCGATATTTAATAATTAATATATTCGAAAGTTATTTATTAATCATTTTTAGGAATAAAAATGAGTTTAAAGGCAAAATGTTTGCACGAATATTTTCACCCTCCCATTAATACAGGTAATCATTTGCGTTCTAAAGGGGTTAGAATTCTGAAGAGCATTTTTATTTTCTGATAATTTATCAAATTGGTTAAATGTTTATGTTTGTTTTAATATTATGTGTAAATTATAAATTTAATTATTATATTTTAGTTTGGTTATTTTCTATTTTAAAAATTTAATAGTGACTCAAATTATAACCATCAAATTAATATTATTAGTCCATGTACTATACGTAAATTGTAAATTTGATTTATGTTCTTCAGTTTGATCAATTATAATTATCAAATTTTAAAAATATAAAAATTAAAACTAATAAAATTAAAATATATAAATTAAATCTATAATTAACCTATAATTTATAATTACCTACTAAATTTGCAATATGAATGGGTTCGGAAGAAACACATGGAAAGGTGAAAGTTATGTTCTATTGTTGCTTAATGTGGAAGAATGCAAGTAATTGATGCAGATCGATTGCAAATTGTGTTTCACCGTAAGAAAAATGGAGTTCCATGCACGCGCCACCGAAAGTGAGTGACTTTCGAGGAAACTGAGGAGGAAACTTCCGGTGCTCATCCCCTCGGTTTCCTATTAAGTTGTCATAATAAATTTATTTTTTTATTAGAATAAATTTAAATTTAGCCAAAAAGCAACGAAATAGACAATGGTTGGTTTTGGTGGTGAAATTTCTTCGGTCGATGTCAGGGAATTTACCTAGCTTTGGATCACGTTCTCGGTGTAGTGTTCGGACAGAGTTGCTCCCAATGATAGACCAAACGCGTGTCCTCTTTTGGAAAAAGAAAAAGAGAAGAACCAAAAATGATAAGGGTAAATTTATATGGGATGGATATAATTATATTGTGTACAATTTATTTTAATTTTATAAAAATTTAAAATAATAATGAGTAAAAATTATGATTAATAATTGTAGAAGATATTCATTGAAAAATAATACTAAATTAATTTTAATTATCTAATTTAACTCATCTAACGATTTTAAATATATGTAAAATTTTAAAAATATTAGATGTGCAAATATATCTTAACACAATTTTTATTATATAAAAATTAAAAATACTCCTGATGATATTGTTATATACTTAAAAGAAGATTGAGTCTATCACACGATTAATACCTTAGTTAGGGCTATAAATGATACGAGATATATCGTAATCTACTTAAGATCGACTTGATCAACATTTGAATCGAATGATCTCGACTCAAATTGTTAATGAGACAAAACGAGTTACTTAATACTCGAAAAGCTAGTGAGCAACTCAAAAATAATATATTAATTTATAGATTTTTAAAATAAATTATTAATAATATTAACGTTTATATGTTATTGTTTTTTCTAAAAAATACAATTTAAGATTTCTATGTACTTAAGGTTCAAGTTCGAGATAGTTCGAGCTTCAATCAAGTTAAGTCTCAGAATGTTTCGAGTTCGAGTCGAGCTTCAATTTTTTATTTCAAGTCGAGCTTAAAGAGTTTAAGCTCGTGAATTTTCGGGTCGAACTTCAATTTTTTTTTCGAGTTCAAGTCAAGCTTGATAATTTTAAGCTCGTGAGATTTTGAGTCAAATTTAATTTAATAATAATCGAGCTCGACTAAGCTCGTTTGCAACCTCTCAGCTTTGATTTTTAGAATCGTGCTTAAAGTTGTAAATTAATTAATGCAATGGTACGCCCATTTAAAAAGTCCTATTGGTAAAATAATTGTTCTTATTTCTTAAAATTTTAGATTCGAACACTATAAATATTAGGGATATGATCACTCAATCTCAAGTAAATGAAAATCATCTTTAAACATATATGTTGAAGAATCTGGTAAGAAAACGAAAGAACATAATAATTTTAACGAGATTCGGCAATGTGCTTACGTCATCGGTGCCTAGATGGCGCTAGAAGTTTTATTCAATATCTCATATGTTTAGGTTACATCTCTATTTATAATAAAAAAAACTGATACATAATTATATAATTAACCATGTACCGTACCGCGGGGCTACGCCCCTGCACCCCCAACCCACATAATTGTAACCCCCTCTACAAGACTTTCTTTGTAAGGACAGTTGATGTTCGCTTTGCTCACTCCGCTCCATCTCCTATCCTCTTTACCGGTATATTTATGAGTCATACCTAACAAAACTCCACCTTGGCGAATATCTTGTCTCTTGAAAACTTCAATGTGGGTTGAGTTACCTTACTTCTTTAACAACTCGAAACATTCAACAAGTCCAAGCAGTGCTTGTACTTGTCTGTCGTAACTGGCTTGGTGAACATATCAGCAGCATTCTCATCAGTATGTATCTTCTGAAACAAAACCTCTCCAGATAGGCCTGTAAACGAACCGAACGCACAAGAATAGAGGATGTTCATGTTCGTTCATTTAATAAATAAACGAACACGAACATAAACGAACAAATTTTTTTTGTTCATGTTTGTTTATTAAGGAATATAACTTGTTCATGTTCGTTCATTTAATAAATATACGAACATAAACGAACATGAACATAAACGAACACGAACATAAATGAACACGAACATAAACGTTGGAGACCCTACCTTCCATTGTTCTTTCATGAAAAATAGTTGACAATGCAAATCAATCAAATCTACAGTGATAAATAGCGTAAGAGCTTATTAGTAGTGATGAAATGTTTGAAGATATCAAATATTTCGATCGATCTTTTAAAGATATTAAATGATTCACACGACTTTAATTTAACGCTATAACATTTATCTTAGTGGTCCATGATTACATATGAACAATCATTTTCCACTACGTTATTCTAATAAATTTGTTGGCTAAAAGTTTTGTGACATCAATGTCAGACTTTAGTGAGGTTTGTTAATAATGGTCCTTTCCGTTGGCAGAATAGAAAATTTAATAGCATGAAGATTTCGAACGGTACAAATTGGACTACAAGGTAATAACATAGATCCAGAGTCCCTTCGATGATACATATCGTAACTGATATTATTGCTAAACCACCATTCAAAATTTTAACGTACATAAAGTCTACTCCACAACTAAATGTCACACAAGAACTATGAAAACAAAAGTTCATTGTCAAAGTGTATTTTCTACTTATTAATGGGTTCTTCCTGGAAAACTCATTACTTCCACTATTACACTCTTTTTCAGAAATTGCATAGAAAACCTTTGTTTTGTTTTCTGGCAAATTCTATATATTTTTCTCTTTACTGATACTCATATACTTCTGATTATTACCTTTATCTTCCCATCTATTTATAGAAAGAAGTATGACGTTTTCTTGAGTTTTAGATGTGAAGATACCCGCAATAACTTTATATGTTAACTATTACGCCAAATAAAACAAAGAAAGAGATGAAAACAAACATGTAAAACTTCATATTGCACTATAATATAACTTGTTTTGAAGCTTTCAGCGATCGTCTCCACTCTCCAGTGAACACTAGGGTTTGGGGAAAAAAAGGGAAAATGAATATAGGTGAGAGGTGTCTCACGGGTTAACATATTGGATTAATCTCCAAATAAAATTGGGTTAATTATGGAGTTGGTCATCAGAATATCATATTAATTAATATTTTTAAGATACTTACAAATTGGTCACCAAAATTGATTTAAGAAGATTGGGTTAAACATAAATGAATGAACATAAACGAACATAACCGAACGTTCACGAACGTAATGAACGAACGAGACCTATGTTCATGTTCGTTCATTTAAGTAAACGAACAAAACATCTTGTTCATGTTCGTTCATTTAATAAATAAACGAACTTCCCGCCGCACGGTTCATGAACGGTTCGCTGAACGTTCAGTTCATTTACAAGCCTATCTCCAGATGCAACCAACTCTATGATCTTGTGGAACCTTACATCAATATGTTTAGTTCTAGCACGATACACCTGATTCTTAGCCAAGTGAATATCACTTTGATTGTCACAAAGCAACTGAACTCCACCTTGCTGAACACCCAACTTTTTATCTAAACCAGTAAGCCATAAAGCTTCTTTTGCAGATTCAGCTGTTGCTATGTATTTAGCTTCAGTTGTAGATAGTGCCACAACAGATTGAATAGTAGACTTCCAACAAATAGGCCCTCCACCTAGAGTAAACACATACCTTGTCGTAGATCTTCTATTATCCAAGTCGCATGCATAGTCTGAATCCACATATCCTACAACCAAAGGATTATCACGCTGACTACCAAAAACAATTTCATGTCCTACAGTACCCTTTAAGTACCGAAAGATCCACTTGATTGTTTTCCAATGTTGCTTACCAGGTTTAGACATGTACTTACAAACTTGACTAACATCATGAGCTAAATCAGGACGAGTACATACCATTGCATACATCAAGTAGCCAATAGCATTAGAATACAGAACCTTTGCCATATCTTCAGTTTCCTTATTTTTCTTAGGCACTGTTCTGATGAGAGTTTAAAGTGATTCTCCAATGGAGTGCTTACTGGTTTTGCGCTGATCATCGCAAACCTTTCTAGCATTTTCTCAACATAACCCTATTGAGATAACCACAGTTTCCTTGAGTCTCTGTCCCTGCAAATTTTCATTCCAAGAATTTTCTTTACAGCACCTAAATCTTTCATATCAAATAT